AAAGTTGTTTTGTGCAAAAAGTAGTCAGAATTCCGAAAATGAAAGCCGGAATTTAATCTTTAAAGACTAAATTTTCAAAAAATAATGAAAAATTCAGGATAAAACATCGAAATTCACAAATTGATTTCGAGTTTTGAAGTTAGAATTCCAAAAAATAAACACGAAATTTGATGTTTCTCAAAACGAATTTAACAAAATCAGAATTTCAGAGTACTACATCAAAATTCACAGGTTTGAAGTCTGAATTTTGAGTTTTAAAATTGGAATTCTGGAAAATAAACAGGAAATTTGATGATTTTGGAAACTGAATTTTCAAAATAATACTCGGTATTTCAAGAGAGAATATTAAAATTCGCAGATTTTCTGAATTCTCAGTTCTAAAATTAGAATTCAAAAAATAGAAACAAAACAAGTCTGTATTTCTAAAATAATATTAGAATTTCAGAACGCTACCTCAAAATTCACAGATTTTAAGTCAGAATTTGGAATTTTATAGTTAGCATTTCGAAAATGAAAGACGAAATTTGATGTTTTTAGACTGAATTTTCTGGACAGAATGTCAAAATTCACAAACTTTTCAGAATTTGGAGTTCTAAAGTTAGAATTCCAAAAATGGGGACAAAAATTCATGTTTTTAAAACTGAATTTCTAAAAAAATTATCAAAATTTTAGGACAGAATTTTCAAAAAAATCATAATTTCAGAACACTTCGTCAAAATTCACAAGTTTGAAAATAGAATTTTGAGTTTTAAAGTTAGAATTTAGAATTTAAATACAAAATTTAATGTTTAAAAAACACATTGTCTGAATTTTTGGTCAAAATGTCAAAATTATTATTTTCTGACAAATGAAAAAAATTAAAAAAAAACATAAATATTTGAAATTTTTGATAAACTTTATACGAATTTCTCTGACCCAATTTTCCGTTTTTTGGTGTCAAACAAAAAATGAAGAGTGTCTTTTTCAATGATTTATAACATATTTTTTTTCACATTTTTTTGAAATGTAACTCAATTTATAAAAAAAAAATTGACGAATTTTTGAGAAAATCAACTCGATTTTTTTCAGCCGACCACATAAATGACTCACTACCGTCCCAAATAACCCTCAATTTCCCAATTCCTGGGCGAATCGCCTGTCTCGAGCCAAAAATGTTCAAATTTTTGTAAATCGGGCTACGCCTCTGTCTAGGGAAACAGTCAAAACATTCAAATTACCTTGGCGTTGGGTACAAAACGGAATGCGTCCGTGGTGTTAAATATAGCCGCATGTTTCTTTTATTTAGACGTAGTTTTGTACACATTTGAGATGGGTTCAATGTAACTAATTTACTGCCAAACTCGTTTTTATAATATATTTTAATAGAACGTGAGAACTAATCCATTCAAAGTTGGCCGAGACGACACGTCAATCATTTTATGACATTTGACATTTGTCATTTGTTCCAGTTGGGATTTTTCACTTATTATAGTGTCAGCACTGGTGAATTAAACCCAGCAGGCCCTGTACCAATCGACTCCATTTTCATTTATCGACCCGACAAACGAATCGAAATATGGAGGTTCCTCCTGTATATGATGTTACACGCAGGGTGAGTTTTATTACAAATTCAAGTCACGTGACCACATTATCCAATCGAATTAATGGCTTCCATCCTGTTTTCTTGTCAACTCGATTTATTAATTTAACGTTTCCTGTCCCTAATTGGTGTTTATTTTTCTCAACAGTTGGCTGCACTTGGGCTTCAATTTGGTCGTCCAACTGTTGGTAGGCCTGCCCCTCGAAATGGTGCACGGCTCGGGTCGTGTGGCCTTGATCTACATGGCGGGCGTCGTCGCCGGCTCATTGGGCACTTCCGTCTTCGACACCGACGTCTACCTCGTGGGGGCCTCTGGGGGCGTCTACGCCCTCTTGGCGGCCCACCTCGCCAACGTCCTCCTCAACTACAATAACATGCAATGCGGGATTTTGCGTCTATTTGGCATCCTCGCCATCGGTGGGGTTGGCAACACTATTTGACATTTTAATGACAGTTGACATTTCAGCCTCCTGTGATGTGGGTTACGCCATCTATTCGCGGTATGCCGCCGAAGTGATGGGGCCGCCGGTGTCGTACGTGGCGCATCTCACGGGGGCCCTAGCGGGGCTCACGATCGGATTGCTTGTCTTGAAGAATTTCGAACAGAAGTTGCACGAGCAGCTCCTGTGGTGGGTGGCGTTGGGGGTGTACGCCGCCTGCACGATTTTCGCGATTCTTTTCAATGTTATGAACCCCACGGTGGAGGCGGTGGAGAATTTGGGGGATGGGGTCAACAGTCAGTATGTGTATAATAGGTTCGGGGTATAGCCCCCTTGTTTCATTTCGCTCTGAGGTTTATTCACTACATTTTTACCCACATAGCCATTCCAGACCTGTTACAATACTAATACGAGAAGAGTAAATCTCAGAGGGGCCACTCTGTATATAGTTTTTTTGTACATATTTATATTTATTTAATATTCTAGACCAAAGACTGAAATGAATAAATTCGAATGATTTATTAATGTTTAGTTGTGAGGAAATTATTGTCAAATTCAGCATTTATCAAGTTCCTAAAACAATTCAAAGCAGGAGTGAGCAGAAACCAACAATTCCATTATTCACTTGACAATAATTTCTGGTTTATTTCACTTTCAGTTCATTTTTCTGAGTGATATTATCAAACTAGTCATAAAATTATTTAAGTATAAGCCTACCAAAGAAAGTGCTAGTTAATTCTATTTACACAATAATGTATTCGAAGCCTTATAGGTAGACGATTTTTCAATGTATATCACAAAGAAAATTGTATTTTTTTACACTCAGGTAGACCACTATTCACTGATACATTTCTAACGAAAAAAAAATAGAACTGATGGGTATTTCTTTTTATAATACCTTTATTCCATTTTTGTTTTGTTATTATTGTCACACAAAACGCCCAAACTTCCAAAAATAGTAATAAATTATTCAATTGTCAATGACTTTTAATGCACCCTTCTGAAATTGTCATGTAAACGTAGCGCGAAAATAAGCCTTTCATAAATTGACATGTAAACGTAGTAAATCAATAAATTGGATAAATCGACAAAAGTGGTGTCCTAAACGCCCTCCACTTTCAACAAAGCATAAACATGTAAAAATGCGAAGCTTTACTCAAGAAAAGCAATAAAATAACTATTCTACAAAAGCGACTTTCGCTCTTACCGTATTTCGAAAGTCACAAAATTTAAAAAAAATTAATAAATCGGGATGATTTTTAGCAAATACAAACCAGGGCAATTAAGTGATTTTTTTTTGGTTTAGTTTTGTAAAAATGTAAAATAACTACGTTTCTATTTCAAAATGTCTTAAAATACCCAAAAAAGGCAAAAAATGTTAATTTTGAACTAATTTGAAAAATTTTTAGAAAAAAATTGACGTTTCTGGATGAAAAACGTTTGAAAACGACCGAAAAAGGCAAAAATGTATAATTTTTGACTTGGTAATATTTCGAACTCCGTATTCACCCTAACTTGGTGATTTTTCAACTTGTTTTTGTCGAAAAACTTTGCTAATATGCCTGAAAAAAAAAACAAAAATTATGTAGTAAAAATAAAAAACCCCCAAACTTCCAAAAATAGTAATAAATTATTCAATTGTCAGTGACTTTTAATGCACCCTTCTGAAGTTGCCATGTAAACGTACCCCGAAAATAAGCCTTTCATAAATTGGCATGTAAACGAAGTAAATCAATAAATTGGATAAATTGACAAAAGTGGAGTCCTAAATGCCTCACACTTTCAACGAAACATTAAACATGTAAAAAATGTGAATCTTTAATCAAAAAATGCACAAAAAGCAATGAAAAAACTATTCTACACAAGCGACTTTCGCACTTACCGTATTTCGAATATCACAAAGCTTCAAAACAAATTTTAAATCGGGATGATTTTTAAGGTCTTTCGACACTGGCAAATACACAAACCAGGGCAATTTACCCCAAGGGGCCCACACGTGTAAAACCAGCGTCTAACACAAAATACTGGGGTTAGGGTACGTTCATTGGTGTCGCAGATGGCGCCACTTTGAACATAAAAAATTAAATTTAAGTTAAAAATTATGAAAACAACTCAAATGGACATAAAAAAAGTCTCAGTGCCACTCTGGTGTGTGTACATTTTTTATTAATAATCTTTTATTGAGTTTCAACCGGAAACGGAAACGCGGAAACGTCAAATTCAAATTTTTGCCTGTCATTTGAAACGGTCACGCATTTAGACTATTTCTTGCAAAAATCGCCCCAAATGGCAGCTACAGCGCTCCGAAAACCGGTGATTCCCAAAGATGACGTAAGAAAATGATCAATTTACATAAATAATCCAATTTTATCAAAAATTTCAGTCAGATGACGATAAAGAATTGCAAATCGAGCTCAAGGGCCTAGTCGACCGAATCACGGTAAGTTTTCAGTTCAAAAACCTCAAAAACTATGAAAATATATACAGGGTGACGAATCAAAACTGGTCAGTGTCTCTCTCGACATGTTAAAATACTTGATACGGACCTCAACCTCGTCCATGACGTCGGTCCCCAAGCCCCTCAAATACCTCGCCCCCTATTACGGCCCCCTTCGCGATAAGTGCGACTCGATGAAAGACAGCCCCTTGAAGAAGAACCTCTCCGATATTGTGTCAGTTTTGTCGATGGGGGCCATCGACGGGGCTGTGAAACGCGACTACGACTGTCTCAAGTATTGTCTCCAAGGCACGATGGAGAACATCGGCGATTGGGGCCACGAATACATCCGCCAGCTCGAAACCGAAATCGTCAAACAATGGGTGATGTGCGAGAACAACTACAAGACTTTGAGCCCCCTTGTAAAAGAAATCATGAGGTTTAACTGCACCCATCATGACGCAATACAAGGCTGCGATCTTCTAATGGAAATTAATCAAATGTACATGCTTTTCGATTACGTCACGAAGGAAAACTACAAGCCAATTTGCTTGTATTTGGCTTCTTGTGCCAAATACGTGGACGAACTCGAAAGCAAAAAAATACTGAAACTCATTTCACAATTTTATTATCTGTTTGGGGAACATTGTCGATGTTTAATCGTCGCAATACAGATTAAAGACTCTGTTTTGATCGAGAAACTCTTCAATACGTGCACTGATAAGTAAATCTAGTAAGCGTTGTTTTATATGTCAAATTTTGACGTTTTTGTAGGATCACACTGTATCAAATGGCGTTCATATGCGCCCGACATCTCTATCCAATCGAATTCAGTCTGGATGATGATGATACAAGGAGCATCCTCGAAAATAGTCACTTGAGTCACTATTTTTTGAGTTTTGTACGAGAGGTTAGTGAGAAATTCAAATTTCCCGCGCTGTATTTTTCGCGCCAAATTCAAATTTCTCGTGCTTTGGTTTGATTTAATAGAGTTGAAATTGTTGATTCACGCTAAAATTACGACAATTTCAAATTTTCTAGCTTAATTTATTGTTGAAAATTAAAATTTCCGATAAAAATTAAACTTAAACCGGGCAAAAATGACACCATTTTTGACCTAATTTAGTGGTTTTTTGGTTTATCTTTGGCAAAATGTTAAATAAAACGTGTAAAAACACCCAAAAACGGCAAAAATGTCACTTTCAAACTAATTTGATAATAACCTACCCGTTTCTGACTGAAAAACGTTTGAAAACGACCGAAAAAGACAAAAATGTGTTATTTTTGACTTGGTAATATTTCGAATTAGTTTATCAAAATTTTGAAAAAAAACTCCATATTCAACTTGATGATTTTTCAGCTTGTTTTTAGTGAAATTTTGCAAAAAAATTTTGCTAGAATGCCCGAAAAAACAAAAATTTTGTAATTTTCCACTTAATTTGAAGCACCGATTTTCGATGAAAATTTTCGAAATAAATTGCTTTCGAAATCCGCTTGAACCATCGGAAAAATAAAAAAAATAGAATAAAAAAAATTAAATGTATAAACAGCGATTTCAAATTTCCCGTTTTGTGTTTTTGGCACCAAATTCAAATTTCTTGTGATTTAGTTTGATTTAATGGAGTTGAAATTGTTCGAAAACGTTGATTCCCGCTAAAATTACGACAGTTTCATATTTCCTAGCATAAATCATCCATTTTCTTGGTTAATTTGCAGTTGAAAATTGAAATTTTCGATAAATTAAACTTAAACGGTCGAAAAAAGGCAAAAATGTCAACATTTTTGTCATAATTTAGTGATTTTTTGGTTTATTATTGACAAAATCTTGTTAAATGATTGCGTTTCTTATTAAGAACGTGTTAAAGCACCCAAAAAAAACAAAAAATGTCACTTTCGAATTAGTTTGATAATTTTTTATCTATTTTTGATAAAAACATTCCGATAAAATTGGCGTTTTTGACTGAAAAACGTTTGAAAACGACCGAAAAAGACAAAAATATGTTATTTTTGACATGTTAATATTTCGAATTAGTTTATCAAAGTTTTGAAAAAAAAACGTCAACTCTATTCAACTTGGTGATTTTTCAGCTTTTTTTTGGCAAAATTTTGCGAAATAATTTCGTTTTTGTCGAAAAATCTTGCTAAGACGCATTAAAAAAACAAAAATTATTTATTTTCCACCTAAAGATTTTTGCACTAATTTTTGATGAAAATTTGCTTTCGAAATCTGCTTAAACCTTCGGACAATTAAAAATAAAGAAAATAAAATGTAGAAGAAGCAATTTCAAATTTCCCGCTTTGTATTTTTGGCACTGAATTCAAAATTTTCTTGCTTTCGCTTGGAGTTGAAATCGTGTGAAAACGTTGACAATCCGTAAAATTACAACAATTTCAATTTTTTAGCTTAAATCATCCATTTTCTTGTCTAATTCGTTGTTGTAATTTGAAATTTCCGAAGAAAGTTAATTAAACCTTTGAAAAAGACATAATTTTTGACCTAATTTAGTGATTATTTTTTGGTTAATTTTTGGAAAATAACTATGTTTTTGTTTTAAAATTTCTTAAAATACTCCAAAAAATGCAAAAAACGTTAATTTCGAACTAATTTGAAAAATTTTCTATAAAATTGTCAGACAAAAAATGACGTTTTTGATGAAAAACGTTTGCAAACGACAGAAAAAAGGCAAAAATGTGTTATTTTTGACTTAATATGGTGATATTTTTATATTATCTTGTCAAAATTAAAAAAAACGTCAACTCCTTGACCTAACTTTGTGATTTTTAGTTTGTTTTTGACATATCTTTCAAAGTAATTGCATTTTTATCGAAAAATCTTACTAAAACGTTCGAAAAAAAACAAAAATAATATAATTTATGACCTAATTCTTTACTTTATTCGTGATATTTCGGTTCAGTTTAGTGAAATCTCAAAAAAAAAACACTATAATTTTTTTACTCAAAATCTGCTTAAACACTTAAACAAAAAAAATTAATAACATAATATAAAATAAAACGTAACTACAGCAGTGTTAAATTTCCTAACTTAAATAATCTTAATTTCCTGTTGAAATTCCAATCTTCCAGCTCAAATCACCCATTTTCTTGCTTGAAATTTGAAATTTCCGCTAAAAATTCAAATTTCCCACTTTGTATTTTGGCGCCAAATTCAAATTTTCCTTGCTTTAGCTCGATATAATGGAGCCGAAATCGCCCGAAGACGTGTACAAAACCTGGCTTGAGCCTGTAACTCTTCGTCAGAGTGTCCTCGGGGAAAAACTGGATAGTGCCCGTCAAAATTTGGCCTCTTCTTTCGTCAACGGTTTCGTCAATGCTGCTTTTGGCACTGATAAACTTTTGACAACCGATGATGGCAATAAATGGATCTATAGAAACAAAGATGTTGGCATGTTGAGTGCCACTGCAGCTCTAGGTTTATTATATCTGTGGGATGTAGATGGTGGTTTAACCCCCATTGATAAATATCTATACACCAGTGATGATAATATCAAAGCTGGGGCGTTACTAGCCCTTGGAATAGTCAATTGTCGTATTAGAAATGACTGTGATCCAGCTCTTGCCCTATTGGGTGATTATGTAGGGAGTGGCAGTGAGGAGTTGCAAGTTGGGGCGGTGCTAGGCATTGGATTGGCGTATGCCGGAAGTGGGCGGAGCGACGTCTTAAATCTCCTCCTACCGGTGATACAGACTTCGAAATCGGTTAAAACTTTGGGCGTGACGAGTCTTGCATGCGGATTGGTCAGTCTCGGAATGAATAATAACGAATTATCCGATATTATCATAACAAAAATGCTCGAATCGAATGGATTGGATGTTTTAAAGAGTCCGTTTATGTTATTGGCGGGATTGGGCGTGGCTTTGTCCTATTTTGGTACTAAAGATGCAATTGAAGTGCCGACAATTGTAGCGGAAGTGTTTGAAGAGCCGTTTCGGACCATTTTTCAGACAATGCTACAGATGTGTGCTTATGCCGGAAGTGGGGATGTTTTAATAATTCAAGAATTGTTGCGATTGGTTGAGGAAAAAGTCGAAGTACCGGAAATACAAACAAAAGATAAGAAAAAGAACGATTGGGATTATTATATGGGGAAGGCTGTGGCCGTTTTAGCGGTTGCTGCGATTTCCAAAGGTGAAGAAATCGGGTCAGAAATGATACAAAGAATTTTCGGTCAAATATCACGATATGGTGAACCTTCGGTACGAAGAGCCGTCCCATTGGCTATAGCTTTGACATCTGTCAGTGATCCACAGCCGACTATAATCAACGTTTTAACGAAATATTCGCATGATGTTGATGATGATGTTGCTTGTAACGCCATTTTTGGGTTAGGTTATGTCGGTGCTGGGACTAATAATGCCCGTCTTGCAGTCACCTTACGTCAATTAGCTTTGTACCATGCCAAAAACCCATTTCAATTGTTTATGGTACGGATCGCACAAGGACTTGTCCATATGGGTAAAGGTACCATGACTTTGAACCCATTACACACCGATCGTCAATTGTTGGATCCAGTCGCAATGGCTGGTGAGTTTCATTATTTGGTAACCAATGTTGTGATTATTTCTTTTAGGGATTTTAATTCCGTTAGTGTGTCTACTTAAGCCACATTCGTTGATTTTGGGACGTTGTCATTACTTGTTGTATTGTTTAGCGGCGGCCATGCAACCAAGATGGCTGTTGACACTTGATGATAATTTGAATTCGGTTTCGGTGACTGTTCGTGTGGGTCAAGCTGTGGATACAGTAGGAAAAGCAGGTGAACCTAAAACAATCGCGGGGATTCACACACATACAACACCGGTTTTGTTGTGCGCCAATGAAAGGGCAGAGTTGGCAAATGGGGAGTTTGAATCAGCAGCGCCTGCACTTGATGGGATTTGTGTCTTGAAAAAGCTTGAATAAAGTTTTGATGTTCTAATTCGTTTTCTGATAAAATGACATATAATAATAGTTCGGTGTGAGGTTGTCATGTAGACATGACATGACGCCATTTTAACTTACCGTGTCAACGTAGTAATTTTGAAAATTGTTAATTTAATTCGATTTTTCGATTTCAACTGTTGTTTTTTTTTGTGGGGATGGACAAGAATTTAGTGTTTGGTTATTTTATTACCCAAAAATTGGGTCTAATTCTTGAAAAAGCTTGAATAAATAAATTTTGGTGTTCTAATTAGTTTTTTGCTAAAATGACATATAATAGTCCGGTGCCAGGTTGCCATGTAGACATGACATGACGCCATTTTAACTTACCGTGTAAACGTAGTAATTTTAAAAATTGTCAATTTAATACGAATTTACGCTTTCAACTGTTGTTTTTTTGGTGGTGGTAGACAAGAATTGAGTGTTTGGTTATTTTATTACCCAAAATTGGGTTTAATTGAACAATTTGAGGTTAGGGTACGTTCCGAAACGTATCACCAAAAAACTAGCAATGAGACAAGTGGGTCCCGAAACGGTCTTTTTAGCCCCCCCACACATTCTCAACTCCGCTGAGCCCATTATATCGTCGCTTTGGTCGTCGAAATACGACGCTTCCTCGAACCATTTTTCATAAAATGGGGTGTCGACTCTTAGGGCTGTTACCATGTCTGGTACTTGTCCACTGCAGCCTCGTGTTGTTTCATTACCGAAATAAACCGCAACCATTGCTGTGTTGCAAATAATGGGCATGCCGGTATTGAGCCCGCAAGGCCCCTTTGGGGGCACCGGTTTCAAGCAGAGGAAGTCTTTGTGACACCCTGTGGTAATTACAGTTAGGGAAATTTGTCCTTTATCAATTCTCTTCCTCGATTGGTTAAAATTGTCAATGAAAAACCAGGACCAGACTGGCATTGTACAGTTGGTATAAGTTGGGGGAATTTGGGGGAAACCCAGATTGACGTTTCGCAAATCCAAGGTGAATTTGAAGTCTTTGGTGACTCGGACTAGAGCCACGTCGGTGGTGATGTCACCAGGTTGGTGGTCTGGGTGCAACAAGACCCATTCGATGGTATGGGTGAGGAGGGTTGAGGAGGTGAGGGGAAGGGGGATATAGGGTTGCGCCACTATTTCATATATCTTGGTCCTGTAATGTCCAATCGATGAGGCTTTGGTTATGACCCATCGTCGGTTCAAAATGGTCCCTGAACAAATCAACAATGATGTTGTGGAGAAATCCGAATCGTTGTAAATGCGAACTTTTGATTTATTTTTGTATTTAAAGAGGACAACATAGGAGTAGTAGCCAGGGGGGATGGGGTCGCCATTGTTATTTTTGATGGATTTTGTGATTTCAGGGTCTTTAATAAGTGTTTCAGGATCATCGGAAGGCTGAACTGGAAAAAATTGGGCAAATGGGGGTTTTGAGGGTAACAAAAGGGCTATACTTGACTCTGCAGCACTTAAAATTATCATCAAATTCAGTAAAACTGTTTTCAAGGACATTTCGTATTTATGACAGTTGTTTGACAATTGCCTTTACGCGGGAAATTTGAACACAAACGAGAAATTTGTAAATTTATTTACACAAAATCTATACAAAAACAAAATACACCTGTATATACACGTTGCAACGAAAACATTATGTACAATAAATAAATAATATGTCAACCAAGACTAGGAATTGGAGATTTTTGCACTTTCGTTCAATTTCACAGAAATCAAACGACACTTCTGATTAAACTTTTATTATATGTAGAAAAAATTAGTTATGATGTTGAGCTTTCCGTTTCCTATTTGCCAACATATCATAGAATGGATTATGACTGATACTTTGCTTCAACCTTTGCATCCATTCATTCTTCTCATCTTCACTACTCGCCGACATTCTATATACAGTGTGTTTCCCTTCAACCACCTTCCCTTCCGAATCCGTCTTACAAGCCTTGATGAAATCAGCGCCCCCACTCGCATACAACTCGAAACAGTGCTGTTTTTGTCTATCTGTACACTCCCTCACCGATATATTCTCCAATGGGATTATTCCTCGCGGCTCTTTATCCGTCGTATACTCGAAATAATACAAACAATTATCGTTCAAGATAAACCACCGCCTCTTCCAACTCTTGTACCGCCCCCCTTGCTTCCACAGCCACCCCTCCTTATCCGGATTGAAAAACGTATGCATCAAGTCGTTCCCATCATCCTCAGGGATCTTAAACGGCTCCGCCTTGATACTGTCATACAAACCCTAAAGTCACAAAAAAAAAAACGAATTTAGTATATAATATATGTATAAACACAAATTTAATGCCCTCGCCTCACCTCGGTTAGGCTTAAAAAAGTTATTTTTTTATACCTACCACAAGTAATTCTCGTGGCAAATCTTGACCTTGGTTAATCCCCCGATTCATGTTAATAAATTGCTCAATCGTTGGCTTATCTTTCACACTAGGATTATGTAAACTCGTGTTAAGCATTATTATTGCGAATGATAACACATAACAAGTGTCCGAATTTTCAAAAATGTTGTTCTCCCCCTGGCAATCACAATAACGCTTTGCAAAACACTCCATCATTCGATCGATTTTTTGGGCCTCACCGGGCAAACGGAAGCTCCACAGGAATTGCCTGAAACAAACAAAAAATTTCAACAAACACCCTGTATATTTACATATAGGGTGTTTCATTTTTATTGTTGAAATTGAAACAGGTAATAGAAAATGCAATTATAAGACAAAAATTCCCTATAAACATGTATTAAAAAATTTGATATAAAAGAGCTACCATCTGAAAGTCATAAAGCATACATCTTTTTTTCTCAATATCTCGGAAACCATTATAGATAAAAGTACGAAATTTGGTACAGCTGATACCGGCTATACACCTAACCGAATTCACAAAACAAATCAGGGGCGTCGCAAACTGGGAGTGATATATGGCAATATTACATACCTCAATGCCTGGACTAGTATGAGATCGGTAAAATCGTGCAGATCCACAAACGCTTGCAATACTTTTTCATTAAAATCGTTTTTCTCTCCCAAATAATCACCAATTGCTGTTTTATTTAATCCTTCGCCTTTGTGCAAAAACTGTGCTACACTTTCGGCCGTATTCTGTAATAATCCTTTTTCAATCAGGTACTCGATGCCTTTTTTTGGATCCATATTGAATTTTTTTCGTCCAATTGACATCATTTTGGTCTTGTTACTGTTTTTGCCATCTTCGCCCGAATCAAGCGACTCCATTTCGGACACGACCTCCACCAATTCATCTTTGAGGTGCTACCAACACGAAAAAACAAAACTAAATTAAAAATTCACAACATCAAGTGTATGTGTGTGTGTCAACAAGCAAATTTTCAATTTTTTAAACCGTTAAAATATTCAAACCGTGTTTACATCGACACAACATGCAAATATGTCGTTTTTTTCAAGCAATGACAGGAAATTTCAAACGTCTGCCTGGCATATGACCGACTTTTCGAATTAAAAAAACGTTCAATCTAGTCGGCGTGGCTTAGAAAAATGAAATTAATCGAAATTACCGAAATAATCAAGTACGTAAATATCAATTGTGTCAATTTTTTCATCAAATATTTTACCAACTTAAAGTTTAATCAAGTCGGCGATTTTTATCACCTGTCACTTAATCTTCCGAAAAATTCCAAATTACTGAAATAATCAAGTACGTAAATGTCAATTGCGTCAATTTTTGCATCAACTGTTTTCGATAAATTAATAACACAAATATTTTTCTTATTCGAGGTTATGTCGGGTCACGTGATTAATTTGTCGACCTTTGTAACTAGCAGGTGTTTTCCTTAATTTCCAATTATTAAATATGTGTGACCTTGACCCGACCTTCACGAGGTCATTTTCTGAGAAAATTATCAATGCGATAATTGATTGTGACATTTGAACGGAAAAAAAAAAAAACAAAAGTGATTATCCCGGTCATAGCCACCTACAATCAGACTACTGGCGCGTCTACAAAACAATTTTTAATCGCCTACTAATCACAATTTGATGCGTTTTTAACAAACAAAAGCAAAAACAATCTAGCATCATCTCAAAAAAAAACTATATCTTACCCCAGACGAACACGAGCAACAACAAGGGAACAAACCGTAAACAATGTACGAGGCACATACACGCACACACGAACACATCAGTGGAGCCAACTAAATAACAACAATAAAAAAAGTTAAACAACAAAATGAAAAATTTAAATGTTCGTCGTGTGAATGCACTTCACGGATTGGTGGAATTGATTTTAAAAAGCGACAAACTAATTAGGTTACGTCATGTCCTCAACGTAACAAAATAAATCATCGATTTAGACGAAAAAAAAATAAAAATTACGTAAATTTAATGACCCGAGCAGCTGTGATCGCAACAAGGACATTTTTGCGCACAAGACAGGTGCAACGAGGAATTTGAAAAATTACAGTAAAATGTGCAGGTGGCTGCGACAACGACACGTATATTATGAAAGTTACAAATTTTAAAAAACAGCCTGTATAAATAAACATTTTTAAATAATGTTTTTCTCAATTAAAGTGACCAGTGATTGAAATCACGGCCACCTTGATGCTAAATTATCATTTTACAATTTTATGAAATTTGGTCCACTCTGTATTAAAATCAAGTTTCATTGATTATTAAACTGCTCAAGTTTTAATATACCGGGTGAATCAAGTTTTATCTACACACAAAAAAAAAACACCTACTAATTAAACTTAAATTGGGATAATTAAAAACCAATATTTATTAATACAATGTGTTTCAAAATGATTTTCATCTCGTCGCCTATGGAATTTCTTTACATATAATTTTTTTTGTTCCGCTCTACTCGTTTTTGTACCAGATATGTAGTTCTGTGAACAGTGACAGCTGTCAATCAAAATACAAACATTTACTTTTTCGTAATGACTAAAGCTCCATTTTTATTTTACATAGAAATAAAAAAAAAGCAATTAGAAGAAAATCATTTTGAAACACCTTGTAGAAACATGACAGCAATAAGATTATATCTTTATCTCATTAAGACAATAATTTGACAACACTGTAGTATAATGAGCTACTTTAGTGCCGATTTTGGACTCTTTACCGACAATTTTATGTAATTATAGTGAAAAAATATAATTTAAAGTTAACCATAAATTAATACAGGATGTCCCAGCGAGTTGGTAAAGTCCAATATTGACATTTAAACGATGAAATTTTAAAACATGTATATCGGAAATTGATAGATGCTAATCTAAATTATTTTCAACTATACAGCGTGTCTCAAAAATAAGTTACAATATAAACTTGTGTTTTTTTAAATGATACATCATGTTTCTTAGCGTTTTTTGATGTGGATTTTTATGACAATGTTTTAAGCTAAACTTTTATTGGTCGATTTTGCTTAGTTTTGAAAATAAGACGTTTTTTTTTGACAAAAACATGCACTTTTTGAAAATTTAGTACACAAAAACTAAGAAATCTAGAAATATTATTTTTTTACTACTGCAAAGAAGAAGGTACAAGCTATAAGGTTGTAACATTTTTTTACTGTGTTGCATTTGCAAAGATAAAAAAATGAAGGCGTTTGTTAAAAGTTCAATAACTTACAAAATTTAAATGAAACACCCTATTTATTGTTTTTGCATTTAAAAGATTATTAAATTGTCTTTCTAAAATTATTTACTTTAAGGTGTTTATAATCAATAACTAAAATGATATTTAACGTTTAACATTAAAAAAAAAATACTATTTTAATTTTAGGCAATGAACTAGATTAGTATCTATCAATTTCCCATATACATGTTTTAAAATATTATCGTTTAAAGGTTAATATTGGACTTTACCAACTCGCTGGGACAGCCTGTATAATGATCAAAATGACTAATTAAATTTTTAGGAAATACATATGTTGTTTATTTTTAATAAGCATAAATTATGATAAAAATTCTTAAACAAAAAAACTTCTAATGATGATGGTTTTTCACAATTTATGATATTTCTCATAACGACCATAGTTTTTTCTTATTACTTTTTATTTATTTACTAACTGACATCTCGGTAGGCGTTGAGAATGTAAACCAACTTTAATTGTTTAATAAAAATGACATTTCAGTTCAATTCTGTCAAAAAAATAATAACATATCCTATTTATCCAAAAAAAATGCATATTTTGGTTGAAGTTTTGGTGAATATTGAAAAAAACGTAGAACAGACAAAAAAAATAAGCGAAAAAACCTTTTAAAAAACTACAAATGTCACAAATTGTGAAATAGACGTTTTTTTCAAACAGTGCGTGCAATCGTACAAAGATAAACAACCTAGAACTGTCAAAGTTGCCATCTTAATTTTCATGACCTACCGAGATGTCAATCACTTTGAAACGCTCTATATGTTCATTTCTTACAATATTTATTGAAGAAATAAATATAGAACAAAGCAAAGTTAGAAATCAATTTAGTTTAAAGACATGTTTAAGAGGTGCAGATAAAATTTGTTACTCGAAAAAAAAATCGCAGCCAAAATGTCTCAAATTACCCAAAAAAAAACCCCAAAAGTCTCATTTTTTCCCTACCGTTGTCCTATACGTGGCCAAAGTGGCCAAATCCCATGCACTTTTCGACGTCGCATCATTCTTGTGATTTTTCCCTTTTTTCGTACGTTTCAACGAGGAAAACCAATTGGCGACATTATGTGTCGTACTAGTCACTGAACCTTTACGTTCACGATTCAAAGTCGAGTACTGCATTTGGATTAAAAACACACACTGATTGAAACGAAGAGAAAAACACAAACAACACTTAGTATTATTTAACACACGACGATTTCATCTTGACACTTGAAATTTATTTGACAATTCTGTAAAAAAAATCAATTTGTTTTTGACAATCACGGACATTATCTGCTCATTTAGTCAATTGAAACGAAACGAGTTAAATAAAAGTAATAGCTGTGCTATTTTTAGCCCAATTTGGTGCGCGTGGCAGACATAACCTCACTTATCGCAAATTTGACGTGTGAGACAAAGATGCATCAATACCAAACGTGATCGGATGAACAAGGAGCGAAAATACTTTCTCTTAACAAAAAAAAAAAAATATTTATTATTCCGCATTCCGTATCGTCGTAGGGTAAAAACGCGTCGACCGTCTGCTGACCTTTCCCCCTGTTATCGATCACTCTCCTTCACTCTAGATAATCCAATTGCGAATTGTTGATTATTTTTAGTTGTGTGTGACATTAAATCAACACAGTTGAGCGGCGAGGAGTTTATTTTCGATCGAACTTCACATTGTATTATTAGATTGATGCAGAAACGGGAGTTATTTTTAAAATGAAACCAAGTCTTGCCAAATTTGAGATGCGGAAGACGATTAAAACTAATAAAAGAATGCGAAAACATACCATAAAAAATGTAAATATGGCGATTAGTCACCAGAATTGTTTTGACAAAATAAAAAATTATGTATAAATACCGATTTGAAAAAAGTCCATTAGTGATCTTTAGATGATAAAATTAAAAAAAAAATTATATTTGACATTGATAGATACTAATCTAGTACATCGCCTAAAATTATTTTCAACCATACAGTATGTCCCAAAGTTGCAATACAAACTAGTGTTTTTTAAATGAAATTGATAAAATAAATGTAGATTTTTATGACAATGTTTTTAAACTTTTATTGGTCGATTTTGCTTAGTTTTAAATATAAGACGGTTTTTTTGACAAAAACATGCACTTAGACATCTAGAAATATTTTTTTACTACCGCAAAGAAGAAAGTACAGTCTATATAGTTGTAATATTTTTTTAGTGTGTTGCATTTGCAAAGATAAAAAATGTTAAAAGTTCAATAACTTAAAAAATTCAAATGAAACACCCTATTTATTGTTTTTGCATTTAAAAGATTATTAAATTGTCTTTCTAAAATTATTTACTTTTAGGTGTTTATAATCAATCACTAAAATGATATTTAACGTTTAACATTAAAAAAAAATTACTATTGTTTCAGTAGCCAAAAAGTGCACAGTTTATTATTATTTATTATTATTTTTAGAATAAAATAATTCGAATTTCAGTATTTATAACGACTTACAATCTCTGGAAAAGTGATCCGTGGTGGAATTACTATGGTTGCCATACTATCAACAATGCTCAGATATTGATAATCATTGTTGCTACAATTAATATTGGATGTTAAATATCTTTTCACTTATCAATTCTATACATTAAAAGTTTATTTTTTTAGATAGACAATTTATTAATCTACTAAATGCAAAAATAAAAAAAAGGATGTTCCATTTAAAATTTTTAAGTTATTTAACTTTTAACAAACTTCTTCATTTTTTAATCTTTACAAATGCAAAACAATAAAAAATTGCTACAGCTTTAAATTATGTACTTTCTTCTTTGCAGAAGTAAGAAATAATTTGTTCTAGCTGCCTTAGTTTTTGTGTAATAAATTCTTAAAAAGTGCATGTTTTCGTCAAAAAAAACCGTCTTATTTCTAAAAGTAAGCAAAATCGACTAATAAAAGTTTAGCGTAAAAACATTGCTTTAAAAGGCTACATCCAAAAATGCAAAGAAACATACGGTGTTTCTTTTAAAAAAACACAAGTTTGTATCGTAACTTTTTTTTTGGGACATGCTGTATGGTTGAAAATAATTTTACGTGATGCACTAGATTAGTATCTATCAATGTCCTACACATTTTTTTTTATTACCATTTTTAAAGGTCACTAATGGACTTTTTCAACACCCTGTATGTCCCCTCAACTTGGCTACAAGTGTGCAAAAATTCACTTTTGTAGTGTTGGTAAAAGCCGAGTTATATGACATTTTCCAATTTTGGGGTCACCCTGTATGATGGGGAATTTTGTGATGGATGAAAAAAATTCGTTACAAACAATTCTCAAGATTACAATTTAATCTAAATAAACGTCATTTCTGAGATAACACCATTTTTCCCTTATCAAATTATCAAAAATTCATGAACCATCAATGTCAACAACCACAATTTCCGCTTTTTGGTGAACATTTCTCAAAATTTATTATATTATTTACGACATACGTCGTCGTTTCACCTCGGGCAAGGCAGACCACTATCGAGTTACTCAATTAGGTTTATTAAATTATATAAAAAAGGGTGGATGATCGATTTTGTTTGGTGATTTTTACCAAGTGATGAAAATGTGGCAACACTGTAATGACTGAAAAAAAAATGACTCACTTGATTATTAACCGAATTAGAGGCGAGAAAATGGTTGGAATTCCGGTTTCCGGAAAAAATATCTTACGTCAAATTAAACCGGTCAATTAATTAGTCATCGCAAAAAATAAATCAAGTGACATAACTAAACAAGCAGACAATATCCGATCAAAAAATCACCAAAAATCCCATTTTATTACCAACTTTTCGCACTAGAAACAACAGAATATCACAATATTAAGGCACGAACAGTATCTTATCACACGCACACTGCGATCCTTCCTACGCGCTTATTCGAGCAAAACTGAGACGAGAAAAGCGACTCGATATGTTTCGCACTTGATCGACCTTCCCGATCAAAATACCGAAAACAGTGTTGTTATGACAAGAGGATGAAAATTTGCACCCGATTTGAATTTTCCGGTCTAGAATATCGCTTCCGTTTCCATGTGATAAGAGAACTGCATCCGTTTTTGCGATAAGACTGTCGAAAAATTACGAATAATTCGATTTTATTCTGTATTAATCGAGAAAATTTGATTTTATTTATGTTCAAGAACAAGAATTTGAATATGACCTTTAGGACAACGGATCAAGGGTGGCCGTGTGGGAGGACAGGAGTCACTCAAAAATTAAAAATAAACTTATTTTATTTACAGACAGTTGGCCATGGTGATTGATGAATTGTAAATAAAATTTTCAAAAAATTAAGTTGGCCTTGATAGGAAATATACAGGGTGACCTAACGAGTTAGTAGTCTTTTAAACGATAATACAGAAGGGTTATAAATGATTTTCATCTACCCAGCTTTGGAATTTTTTTGCATGTAAGTTTATTTGTGCCGCTCTACTTTTTTGAAAGCTCTAGTTCTGTCACTTATTAATTAAAATTAAATAGTTGTTAATTAAACTTTTATTGTTTCAACTAATTTCCAATAATAATTGATAATAATGTATACTTTGGAAGAAAAGTTTATTTTCGAAGTGGACGCTTATTAAACTGCGATTTTCTAATTTTGAGTTAAAATAAGTAGGTACCCCTATTTTCGTAAAGCGGCATATTTTATTTTACATGGAAAATTCAAAGCTGGCTAGATGAAAATCATTTCTAACCACTTTGTACATGTTTTAAAATTTCATCGTTTAAAGGTCAAAACTGGACTTTACCAACGCGCTGGGACAGCCTGTATGTCTACTTGTCAAAAATAATTTTCGTGTTTTTTTCTAAAGTCATTTGAATTACTTTCAAATTAGTAAAATAAGGCTTACAACCACAAGAAAAAAATCATTTCTCAATCAATTTTTCACATTTCTATTATAAAATATTGCTAATCACAGAAACCCAGCCGTCCAAGACAAACAAAAGTTTCACAAACAAAAAAAACACGATTTCGACTAATTTTTCTACATCAAATCTAATCGAAACATTTGACCTACTTCCGAAATAAATTAAGCAATTGAACGACTTCCGTCAATTAAATCGATCTGATGAAAGAAACATTTAAATCTTTCGTTACTTTTCCTTCCAAGCGACAATTTATGTGTCATTTTGAAACAGGTGGCGCTATTATGGCTGACTTTTCGAACTACTTTGTTATTTATGTCACAAACTCGAAATAGCTGGCTGGGAATAACTGTCGTAAATCTCTCAATAGTCACCCTGTATGTTGCCATATCGGAAACAGAAATTAAATCAGGGATAGCTGTGACCACCATTTTTAACAAAATCGAATCGTGCACTGGGAAAAGAAAAACAAAGTCACCGTTGCGGTGCCATTGTCCTGTCAATAATATCTCCACGCCTACTTGAATATTTCAATTTTAACTAATAATGGGGGCTATGGGGGTAATTAGATCGTCATTGTCGTGTCGCTTTCCTGCAGAGAAAGACGTCAAATGCTTCGGTGCAAAAACCGGGTCATTAAATACCCACGAGTACGTTTCCGGTGTTTATAAACAACAGTAAAATAAAATGCAAACACGATTTCGAAATTTTTCTAGGCTGATTAATTACCAACACAATAACTCCTCATTCTCTAGGTTTTTCGGGTTACTCACCTGGATTTGCAACAAAAGCTCAGTCTTTCGACGCCGGATGTCGATGAGGACTTTTTGCTGCTCGGGAGATAAATCTGAAAGGGGAAAACCCAATTACAAACAATAAGAGAAAAACAATTCGAATACGGACCTGATATACTGAACGGTTCCTGGGTGTGTGCAATTGTTCCCATTATAAATAAAATTCACTTTTTAATACCCTACTAACATAACGGACCTAATTCAAACACAAATAAACATATTTTTGATTAAAATAAATATTTTTCACTGATAACAAAACGCCATTTTGAATCGTCAGCGTAACGGTTTGACAATGACAGTAGTGCGCATGCGCGCATTGCACAACTTGAACTACTTTTGACTTTTTATCGCCCCTTTTACGATTTTTTAATGTTATCACTCAAGTAAACAGGAAAAATACACCGCGGTTGTGACCAAAATTGCGTTCCAGTTGAGATTAAACCGACTTGAGCCCCAAACTTGCAGTAGCTCATTCGTACCACAACCAGACCTAATCTCATTTTATTCATTTACGGGTGTTTTTAATTAATTTAAGACAATTATCACGTTTTAAACGTTAAAGTGTGCCAATTGGACCGTCATTTTGTCACAAATTTGTCATAATTTGCTAAATTTGAGTAGTTCATTTCTGGGCTATACGAGGGTTATACAAAAATGATATACCGGGGATGGTAATTAAAACAAAGCCTCAATGAATAGATTTATTAGGTTTTCCAACAAATAGTAACAAGAGTCACAATGGAGTGACCCGGAGACGGAATGAAAAAATACTTTCGAGAATTTAGTCTGATATAAGAATATCACTGAGTTTAGAAAGGCGCAGTTTGGAAAATATTTGGTCACCCTGTAACATCAAGGGTACATAGACTCTACTCTATTTTAACAATAAATAAATAATGACTAGAAACATAACCAAAAACCCTTTGTGCTATTATTGCTGACTAGAATAGTATATAGGTACACTTAGTAGAAGGCATGTGTGACACTTGACTAGGTCATTTATTGTATACAACACACAGCTGTCGCCCCTTTGGAATCATTTAAAGTCGCTCGACGTTTCAAACCTTCCAAATAAACATCTCTATGAAACAACCCGGCCGCTAATGGTATCCTAAAAAACACCATCAAACATAACCACAAAACAACAACAAATCGTACGTATCCAAGCCCGGCCTTAAATGTGCCTTAAACACGCCCCAAACCGGTTTATGGTCCGACGTCGTAATGGAAGAAACCGAATCGTAAACCAAACATTGAAGAGGCGGAGTCTCCATCTGTCCACTAAACCTACGCCCCGCCCTATGCTTAAACAAAATCCTATCGGTATAAGCCGGCGTTCTTTGTTTAGAAGAAGTGTCAAAATTTTGTGTCCCAGGGTCGTACTACAACCAAAATTAAGCCCCCCTTTACTAACACACTAGAAAAAATATACTTTGTAAGTCGGGGGGAAAGTAATCTTAGCTTCGGTAAATCCCTTAAACGCCGCCCCATCAGCCAATACGGAACACAATTGATCGTGATGTAAATACCCGTGGGGTAGATGCTCCGGTAGGGGGAAACTTGTCTTAGACAACCACTCCAGGACTTTACTCCGGGGGGTTGCCAACCGGAAATTCAAATCACCGGACCAGAAAACGTAATCGAAGTTTTGGGTAACGTCTAGAAAGTTGGCTATGATTATGATAAAAATTAATCAAGTGAGCTTTGCGACCTTTGCTTTTGTTTTTGCAGGGCAGGACTTTGGGGAGGTCGAGTGAATTGACGATTTTTCGCACATCGGAGACACGTTCTTTGACTTTTTCCTGGTGGGCGGTCAAATGGGCGGTGACAAAGAGGAAGGAGGTGCCAAAGAGGAGGAACGAACAAGCGACCGCCCCCTTGGTGCGGAACGCCGTTCCCGGTCGTACGGAGAGTGAGGCGTCTTCGGGGATCGATATGTACCAAATGAGGTCACGACGGACGAACACCGCCAAGTGGAGAGTACCTACAAGGGGGCCCCCTTAATTAAAATCGCTTCTTGACGCGACCTCACCTAACGAAATGGAATGATATAAGATATGTGAGGGCCCCAGTGTCTCTTGGAGACACACCTCCCATTCGAATCGCTCGGAACAGGACTCCTGAGTTCCGAAGACTAAAATATCAGGTACGTGTTTAATACCAATCGGAAGCACAAAATCGTTCAATTCCCTAGAAAAATCACAAAAATTTTTGGGATTTGTATCGAGGGGGAGTTACTTGGGGGGCGTATGCCCATTCATGTTCCACGTCCCGACGAAGATTGTCACTTGTCGAGTGGGGAACACTCGGTCCAACTCCCGGGGGCCTAGGAGAGAATTCGCCCCGATTTTCCCTTGTAGGAAATTCCGTTGACGCGCTTGCATCGTGGGGATCAAGTACAAGACCTGTGCTATAAAAACAGTAAGACAGCCCCCTTGAATAACCCCAAATTACCTTCTTTCATCACACTTTCATGCGAGATGCTTTTCTCCATTAAAACATTCTCCTCAGTGAGACTCACTTCAGCTACGTTATTCTCCGAGACACTTGTGCCCCGTTCCAGAGGCGAGTTGATTTGCTTTTAAAATTAGTCATTGACACGTAAATTGGGGCACTTACCAGGAAATTCGAGTTGCCTTTGGTGGGACTCATGTTGGCGACGTTGAGACTCAAAGGGCGCTTCGAAATTGTCATTGACCGTTTCGGGGGGGCCTCGTCATGCTCCCCGCGGGGCTCCCGGGCACTCTGACTACGATTCACTGCAACACCGACCTTGTTTGGGACTTTATTGGGGAGGAGGTACCGGGAGAGTGACTTTTTCTGTTTGAATTTGTGAGAATTGCTTTCCATAGTCATCGCTTTGGGAAATTCAAGATTTGTTTGTATTGGCACTTACGAACGTATTATTGCTTTTAGCCAGTCCCGGTACCCCACACATGATAACCCCATTCGAAATGTAACAAAAACGACGCAATTACCGTGTTTTTAGTAAAAATAAAATAAAATATTTTTTTCGAACTACATAACCTAGAAGTGTCAAATCGGTACGATTTTGACAATTGACAGACACACATTTAATTAAATAAAATAACCGGTGATTATGCCCCGACACGATTTCCTTGCACATATTCTCTTGATACAAGCACGAAAAACCCCTCTTTGTATTTTTCTAACAAAGTCCGTAAAAAATCATGAATCAGTCCTTGAAATTTTCTCGCCGTCATGTTGGCACTTCCACACAAACAAACACCTCAATATCATTAAAATGAGTGTAATTTCGCCAAAATACGAGACCCTCAAACCGGGGCCCCCTTCGCCGATGCGTCACACCCACCGTTGTATTTTTCTAACAAAAGAATACAAAACTCGTGACCAATCTTGGACTTTCATCGCCGTCACGTTGGCACTTTTTCGAAACCCAAACATCTCAAAATCGTTAAAATGAGTGAAAGTGCGCCAAAATTGGAGCAGGAGGGCCCGCGACCGAGTCGTTTCCGGCGTCGTGGGGGCCCCGGTCGTTTCAACAACGTCCGGGGACGGCGCCCCTTCACCCGTGATGTTAACGAAAGTGAGGTTGATGCGGCGCCCCTTCATGACAAATGCTACGAGAAGTTGGCCCAAATTGGGGGGCCTACCGTCGACTTGCCCCTTTTGGAAACCGTAGAGAAGAAATTCTCGGGGCGTAATCGCCTCTACATCGGGAATTTGGGGCCCGATGTGGCCGAAGGAGACTTGCGAGACTTGTTGGGAAAGTATGGAGAGTTTGGGGAGTTGTTTGTCAACAAAGAGAAGAATTTCGCGTTTGTCAAATACGATTTTTATGCTAGTTGTGAGAAAGCCAAACGTGAGTTGGATGGCGAAGTCTTGAAGGGGAAGAATCTCAAGATTAGATTCGCCCCCAATAATGCGTCGGTTAAGGTGAAGAATTTAGCCCCTTTTGTCTCAAACGAGCTCCTCTACTACGCCTTCCAAGTGTTCGGGGAGGTGGAGAGGGCTTTGGTCCTCGTGGACGAACGGGGGAAGCCCACAGGTGAGGGCATCGTGGAGTTTTCCCGAAAGGGCTTCGCCTTGAACGCAATTCGGAAATGCAGTGACCGCTGTTTCTTCCTCACGGAGTCTTTAAGGCCCGTCGTGGTGGAGCCCCACGAATACACCAATGACACCGACGGCTTCCCCGAGAAGTTCCTCCCGAGACGCAACCCCGATTTTCTCAAGGCGCGCAGCAAGGGCCCCCGATTGGCCGAACTCAACTCATTCGAACACGAATATGGACTACGTTGGAAGCAACTTTTGGACTTGTATGCGCAAAAAGAACTCGCGTTGAAGACTGAACTCCAAATGGAGATGGAGAAGTTGGAGGCGCAGATGGAGTACGCGCGATATGAACACGAAACTGAGCTTTTGAGGGAGGAATTGAGGGTGCGGGAGATGGACAGAGATAGACAGAAGCAGGAGTGGGAGATGAAGCAGCGGAAAGTTGAGGAGGAGAGACGCAGGAATGAGGAACAGATCAGGAGACAAGAGGAGTCCCTCCAAGCGAGGATGATGCATCAAGAGGAGGAGATGAGGAGGAGGCAACAAGAGAATAATCTTTTCATGCAAGCACACCAATTACATAGTATGCTAGATGAGCAAGAACAGGCATTCCAGGAGCCCCAAAATGACGGGTTTGAGGTGAAGAAAGAGGAGAATTTGCCCCAAACGAGCAACTCTTTCAGACGTGAGAGGAGATGGCGCGATGATTTTGGCCCAAAACGACGCAGATTTTAGGTTTAAGTCACAAAATGAGTTTCTATAATTGTATGGAGTTTTTTTAATTTGTTATTTTTGTTCCTGTTTTGCATTCTAATCAATAAATGATTTATAAAAGTCGGTATTATCGTGACCTGTAATTTATCACTGCCGGTATTATCGCATCCTGTAATTTATTAATTATCACAATTTGTGATTTATTAAGCGTGTGTCACGTTTAAATTACACTTTTAATTACAAACCAGTGTAACATTTAAAATTACTACAAGTTTAATTAAATTTATCGCGTGTTTAGTGACTTTGACGAGACGGTTGGCATCATTGTGCGTCACGCCTTGTGGGGGCTGTTACATTAGTTTACCTTTAATTTAATTGGTTTTTCATGTTAATCACGAAGTTATTTAAACGGGAAAACACGAACAGTTTGAGTATTTTTTCGTAAAGTATGGAGACACAAAAAACTGTACTTAACCAAAAAAATGAAGCGGTTATTCGAGTGAAAAGTGCCGTACCCAAAAACCGGTAAGTACTGATTTTATTGTAAAAAAACGATGTTTTTTGTGTGTTTGGTCGATAATCGGAGATGAGCGCGGTATTGATTTCAAATTTAAACTTTTTATTTTTGTAATCTTTAATTACTGATAATTGTAATCAAGTGGGAGTCGAGGACGTTTGAACTACTAAAGGGCCATTTACACGTGAGTTGAAGGGTGAAGCCACATTCACACCTCGTTACGTCATGATTTATTTAGAGTAGAGAATAAATAAAAAAAATTATGATTCTACTACTTTTTTAACAAAATTAAGAATTTCAGTAAATTATATTATACAAAAAACTGAAAATTGTTATGAAGCCACTAGAAAATTATAAACAATTTTATAAAACCGAAGGTCAAGTAAAAGGACAACGCAAAATTAAAATCAACTTGTTTATGTGTCTGTAGGATGTCGATTCAAGTTCAAAATGTCATCGCAAAACAATTGAATAAATCATTGATTGTCTATTGTTAATTTTCCATTTGGCTAGTAGGTCATGGAAACAGGCAAAAACAAAACACGCTTCACTTATTTGCATTTTTTTTTATCTAAGAACCTGTTTAAGTTTATTTTAAATATTTATTTTTATTATGCGATAAAAACAACAGAAAAAAGCAATTTAAAGTCGGCCTTGGAAATTCAAAAACACAATTTTTCAGGCAGGAATTGTTAAAATGGAACGGTTGGGGTTACCAAGACTCGAAATTCATTTACGACAGTGCTGCCAACGAAGTGCGTTTTACGGGTCATAGGTAATACCAACCTAATTTATTTTTATTTTATTAAAAAAAAAAAACGTAAGGTATCCCATTGGTGATCTCCGCTTGCCCCATTTGATGGGATGGGTGAAAGACAACTTCGACGTCGATTTTTCCCAACCCAAAAAAGCCCAAGAAATTCCCCCAGACGAGAAATTCCCTAAACCCCAAATTTCCCCTGAAAATCTCACCAAAATCACCAACTTGGGCATCAGTTACTCCCTAAAGGGCCTCGATCGACTCGTCAGAGCCCATGGACAGACCCTTCATGACATATACACCCTTCGAACGTCATTTTTCGAGCGAATCCCCGACATTGTCGTATGGCCGATTTGCCATAGCGACGTTGTCAAGTTGGTACAAGTGGCAGATGAGTCCGACATGGTTGTCATACCGTTCGGGGGCGGGACTGCCGTCTCGGGCGCCGTCGAGTGTCCAACCGGGGAAACCCGAACCATCATCTCCCTGGATACGTCCCAAATGAACCGGATTTTATGGATAGACCGCGAGAATCTAGTCGCCTGTTGCGAAAGTGGCATCATAGGTCAAGATCTAGAACGCGAACTCCGGAAATTGGGCTTCACTTCCGGTCACGAACCCGACAGCTACGAGTTCTCGAGTCTAGGAGGCTGGGTGGCCACCAGAGCGTCAGGTATTAAAATCCCTAGAAACTTACTAGATGCATTTCTCTTGGGTTGGTAGGCATGAAAAAAAATCTCTATGGCAACATTGAAGATCTTCTCGTTCACGTCAAAATGGTGACGCCTAATGGCGTCCTTGAGAAAAACTGTCAAGTCCCTCGTTTGAGTTGTGGTCCGGATTTTAATCACGTGATTATGGGTTCGGAAGGTTCGCTTGGGGTAATCACCGAAGTGGTGATTAAAATCCGACCTTTGCCGAAGTGTCATCGTTTCGGTTCGATTGTTTTCCCCGATTTTAAGGCGGGACTTTCGTGTATGCGTGAAGTTGCTAGGCAACGGTGTCAGCCATCTTCGATTCGTTTAATGGACAACGGTCAATTTAAATTCGGGATGATTCTAAAGCCGGAATCGAGTTACCTTGGCTTGATTTTGGACGGTTTAAAGAAGTTTTATGTTACGAAAATCAAGGGTTTTAATGTCGAAACAATGTGTGTCATGACGTTGTTGTTTGAGGGGGAGGAAGGGGAGGTGAAGGGGCAGGAGAAGAAGATATATAGTATAGGGTTGCAGTTTGGGGGGATGCCAGCGGGGTCAACCAACGGGGAGAGGGGCTATATGCTTACTTTTGTCATAGCCTATCTCAGGGTACGTTCCGGGATTAATCCCTATTAGGTAACACAATCCTTGTTCCAGGATTTAGCCTTGGAGTACCAGATCGTGGCCGAATCCTTCGAGACTTCAGTCCCATGGGATCGTGCTTTAGTCTTGTGTAAAAACGTAAAAGAGGTTATAGCCCAGGAATGCCAATCCCAAGGGATTAAATTCTTCATGATTAACTGTCGCGTAACCCAAACTTACGATGCCGGTTGTGTCATCTATTTCTATCTGGCTTTTAATCATTATCATGTCGAAAATCCTGTCAAAGTTCATGAAATCCTCGAAACAAAAGCCAGGGATGAAATTGTAGCTTGTGGTGGGAGTATTTCGCACCATCATGGAGTTGGAAAACTAAGAAGGCGTTGGTATGCAGGAACTGTGTCCCAAGTAGGCGTTGATTTGTATTTAGCCACGAAGAAACAACTAGATCCGAGAAATATCTTCGCGACGAATAATTTTATTAAAGCCAAATTGTGAAGTTACCTTTGTATTTTTTTCTATTACTGTGATATAGAGTGGCATTGAGCGTGTTTTGTTTCTTTTTTAATAAATTTGTGTGAAATTGAAGCGTGTTTTTGTGCTCATAGCTTCCTTTGATTAGGGGATCAAGGGTGCTTTGTCTCGGGACGGGGTCGATGAACTATATTTTTTGTTTTGACTTTAAAATGACATGGGGATTATTACGTTTTTACGTTGGCTGAAGTGAATTTTTATGGGGCGACAATGAAACACTCGGTATATTAATTGATGGAAATAAAGACATTTTTTGGTAAAAATGACAAGTGACATTTGATTTTTTGACACAAAATAAATACTTCGTTTTTATAGTTGGCAACTCTTGTAATTTTTAAATATATACTCTTTTTCGTATTAATGTGCATCAAGTAGGTTGTAGAAGTCTAAATGCATCTTTAACTTGAAAGCTGATTCACACAAAAAGTGTCATTACATTAATGTAATTCAGAACAAATTTAATCGCATCAATGATGATAAAAATATTTATTTTTGCTACCCTATTTTATTTAGAAAAAATAATTTTTAGGGAAAATTGAGGTTAGAATTGTTTGAATTTTTGCATGGTTGCCACCTTAAAATGATCCCTTTCAACGACTACTTCGATGCACTTTAATATGAAAACGAGTATATTTATTTTCTGACAACTTGATGCAATATCAATATTACTAAAAAGATAGGGTTTTAAGAGCGTTTTTGTGGGGACTGTTGGTAGAAGTGAGTCTTAAAGAATTTCTTGCCGGAACGATAATAACACCCTGAATATAGTTTGTTCACTTTACTATGCGAAAACTACCATGGATAGTAATGAATTTCTTCAATTGTAAAAAAAGTCAAAATAACTTGGAAATCATAAAATTTAGGTATAGGGAATGTTGATACAGATCGATGCAGAATTAAATTTTCTTTCATTTAATCAAGAAAAAATTGAGGCCTTCCATTTGAAAAAATTCAGTTACGGGTATTTGAAGTTTCCCAAACATAACCTTAAATTTTGGAGGTTTGTTAATTATCTTTCCAATTAGAAATACACGAAAGAAAAGATCTAATCTTTCTTTTTCATATGCCCAAATACCATTTCAAAATAATTAATAATGGTAGAGTTATCGATTTTTGGAGAGGAAGATGCAAATTAAAAAAAAATCAAAAAAGTCTAAATATTTCAAAAACGGTTAAACTTAGGTGGGGAAAGCTAATGAAAACTGTCTCAAAATGACTTGAGTAATCCAAAAATGCAATAAAAAACATAACTTTTTATTTAAAATAACGAAGTTATAAACAAAATTTTAGATAAATACCATTGTTAGAACTTCTAATGTGGGATTTAGCCGGAACAGCCTGTATAATGATAATTTTTCTGTTTGTATTTAGTCAAGCAAGTCGACTAAGAAAATTGCTGCCAACTTCTCAACAAAAAACGATAAAATAAACCGAAAAACGTTATTTTTAGGGAATTTAGAGCTAAAATTGACTTGATTAACGACATGAAAAGTCCCTTTACTTTATTTTATAAAGAAATTGAATAAAAAGGGAAAAGAGAAATTGAATTAAACGATAATATAAACAGATTTCGCTAATTTGGGGTGGCTTTATTGCCTCACCCTTATTTTAATTTTCGTTAAAACGTATAGGAAATTGAAAAAATCGACTTTTATTATATAGGTGTCCCAAAATTTTTTAAAAATTTTAAGAAAAATCATCAACCGTCTCACATAAAATTATTTTCAACTATACAAAGGGGGCTTGGGGCTTCGCCCCCACGCCCGATTAGTGTTACTATCGGGCCAATATACCGTTTAAGGCATCACCTCGACCCACGTGAAACATCTTCTCTAAAATCAATATTTGGAGTGTGTGAGATGGCCGCGCGCCATCACCCCTCTGTCGCCAATTTGTGACCGAGACCAAAATGGGGTTTTTCCCCCAAATCTCCACCGTTTGGCCGGTTTCTTGTCTCGTAAATAATTAAAGAAAAATTTTTCGTGTGTGAGAGGAGAAAGTTGCAGAGCAGAGGGCCGGAATGTGGGCATGCGCGGGCTGCAGAATCCTGTATCTGGGGGCATCTCCCGGAGTTTACTCCGGGGTGTCAGTGCGCGTGGACTCTTCTTATATCGACATATTGGTGCTACTAATTTAAATAAATTTAACGATTGTACATTAAACTAAACGAAATAGAGAATAAATATTTATATAAAAAATATATATAACTAAAAAATATTTCGTATTTAAATATATAACAAGTTTAATAGAAACGTTATAAAGCGACACGGTATAAATTCTATCAATTGTTTTAACTGTTGCCGATATAAAAGCACAAATCAAAAAAAATAATTCATTTGTCCGAATATAGAGTACAATTCGTGCGATATTGCAGTCATTACGTAAGTTGATTGTCCAATTTAGCAACGCTTTTAGTAGAATTTTTATGTTTTTGTTGAATTTTTTCCAAAAGCGGGGCCAATTAGACAAATTTAAATATTCTAAATCGAGATAGTGATTAACCCTAATGACAAGTATAGTTAAAGGATTTCACCCCAATTCCCCAAACATTTAAAAAAAGGTAAGTCGATAAAGGCCACCCCAAATTAGCGAAATCTGTTTTATCATCGTTTCATTTAGTCGAGTCGAGTTTTTCAAATAACGTATTGTCACTAATCATTAAAATTAAATTCCCTAAGTGGGACACTAGAAATTATTACATTTCATCAAATTGTACAAATGGCAGCCCTGCCACCAGAAATTTAGCAGGTCCACCAACCTAAAAATGAAATCTTAGGGAGATGCAATAGGTTAAAATACTCTACGATGCACAGTTTTTGAGATATTGAGTAATAAAGTTAAGAATAAGGCACTTACCCAATTATGACCAAAAAATCAAAATTTTGTGATTCTTCTTGCTCTAAGTCTAATCGTTTCGTAGAAAAAAGCATTTAAAATTTCACAATTTTGAAAATTTTTACTTTTTGAACGACAAGTTTTTACTCTTTTTATTTTGTAAATTGCAGCAAAAATGTACCTCAATGATATAATATTTTGACTTGAACTCATGTAAAATGTTCCTGGGAATCGATTCATGTCAAGAAAACTGCAAAATTCGTAATAGTTTTGAAGTTATAGTCGGATCCATTTTTTTTGAAATTTTTAACTTTATCAGAAATTTTCTCAATAACTATTTATCGTAGAACACTGATCTTACGTGATAGAAAATTAAATTTTCTTTCCAACGGTACCAAACATAAGAGGTTATCACCAATAAGTCCGGAGTTATTGCAACAAGTTAAAATACTCTACGACGCATAGTTTTTGAGTTATTGAGTAAAAAAAATAAGATTAAAGCTAGAATCATAAACACTATATTTATTTATTTCTTGTCTTGCCTTTGTTACTTCCAAACAATTGAATAAAACAAACGAAAAACTCACTAAAACAATCGGCATTGACTTGTTTATAAATTAACTAGAGTACCAACATTGCGAAATCAAATTTCCTACAATTATGTTTCGTCGTATGACATATTAAGTGTCAAAGTTGGCAACAACACAGATGTTACCCACACATTTATCACTTGAAAGTACTACACTACCAACTGTGCGAATAAAAATTTCGTAATTATTTGGGGTTATTTAACGACTTGTTAAATCTAAAACGTAGAGTATTTTTCAAGCACAATTCATTACATTTCACATTGGCCAACCTACAAACATAAAAATCCCCTCCGATCGATTCAAATTCGGTTTAATTGCCTCGAAATTCGTTTCCAATTTCATCATCGGGATTTGCGTCGGGGAATTGAATCGAATTCGTTGGTTGGTAGAACTGAGATCGTCAAGGGTTAAATCGGATAACACCAATCTCCAACTACAATACATCTTTTATCACAATTTTTTAACCTTACGTCAACCCAATTTCCCGGCACGTCTTTTCCCTGAAATATGGTTAATTTAAACAGGGCGGTCCCGTGGGACTGTGTTGCGAAAAGTGTATTTTTATTAAATTCCCTTGACTTATAGGCAACCAAATATACTAAAACTGATTAAGTTAAGAGTTTTTCCTTTCAAGATTGCAAATTAGCCGCCGGACATTTCCCATTAAAATACTGTCAACGTAATTATTGACTGCAAATTGCTTGGCAACGTTTCACGTCTACCAACGTGACAAACAGAATTATTCCCAATGCAACACTTGAATTCATTTCAATTGCAAAAACAGCGAAAAAGACTTAAAGCCAATTGAAAATGATAATAAACCACTTTATCCAACCAAAAACCCTACATTAAAACTTTACTCCCTCGAGAGGAAAAATTTATGCTTGTAATCGGCCCTAAACACAGTGTTGCCAACCATGCATTTAAACTTAAGTTAGAGAAACCACAACAATGGAACAAAGTTTCAGTGGAGTTTGCACAACTTTCAGAGATAAAAATTTAAAAATATCTAGGTCACCATTCATGCTTAATTAACTCGCTGAAATTTTCACAAGGCTTCCTGGAATTTATAATTTTATGTGTTGTTGGCTAAACTGAGTGAAATTAATGCAACTCGAGGCTCTCCTCGTGATTGAAAAACAAGGATATGTTGGTACTCCTGTACGATTTTCCTTTGTTTGTTGTGCGAGAAAGTTTTACAAAAGCTCCATTCAAGACACGCTTTTAAAAGCTTTAGAAACGTGTGAAAAGAAAGTTTAATGGTCAAACAAATTCTAGGAACTTTTGGTCTATTTTTAGGGCAATTAAGTGTTTGGATTCAGGGGAAGACATGACATAATACCAACGTGAGAATGCAGTGCCACGCATTGCAGATCATAAATCAGTGTTGCCACTCGCTGAGTTATTCAAGCGGGAAATTGCAAACAAGCCCGAACAAACACACCCACAATTATTAACCTCAAATAATCGAATATTCATGCAAGTAAAATTCCGGTTGGCCACACTGTCAATAACAGGAAATTTACTAAATTGTGACGAGAGGATAATTGTTTCATTATATTGGCAACAATGTGAAGTTTGATTGAAGCGAAAGACATTGTTCATTAATGGAATCATAAATAAAAGTTTATTTTGTCACAGGAACACTTCCATACACCCAGTGGAGGGAAAATGGAACATACCGGTAAGAAAGCAAACTGTAAAATTTTAGAAAAATCACCGAATTTTTCAGGTTATCTCGGAAATTCTCGCGTGGTTCTCAACCATTACGATGTCTCAACTCAGGTAAGTGGTGAGTTTATAACGCAGTTGGCCTCGTTATTGCCAATATGACGAAAAAAAGTCACTGTCATGCATCAACGGAGCTAAATTTAGTGACATTTGGTTCGCAACGCTGGTGAAATGTCAACCGAAATGAGTTTTGGTCAGTGTTACCAACAAAACTTTCTCTAGGCCGACATCCAGCATGTGGCCCTCACGTACGAGTCCGAGGACGAGATCATGGGTCGGCCCCATCGTTCGCGTCGCAATACCGCCCATTACAGCAAACAGGACATCCGCGAGCAGTATTGCATCTCTGATCGGGGCTTGGGGGCCCTCGAATCCGACCGTCAGAGTCTCTTTGGTTGTCTTTCGTCGCACCAAAGCTCCCCTTGCTCAAACCGCGCCTCTTTCCTCACCGCCTGTGTTCGTCAGAAAGTACCATCCGATGAGAACCTCTACGACTTGTATCGAAGACATCCGGCCGACTTCGCCCCCTATCCGAGACGCAGCAGGCAAGCAATGACCCCCTTTCATGACCGTTGTGTAACGCAGACAAGTTTAGGTACCCGTGGGGGCCCCTAGCACCGGAAATATACCGATACGACGAGGATTTAAAGAGTTCGTATTTCCGCCGGAAGGTCCACATGGACCCCAGTAGGTACACATGGATGCCCTCAGATGACGAGTCGGTGAGGATGGAGAAACCCAAGAGTATCCTCGAGCCGTACCACAGCAACCCCCCTGCTGCATCTCCCCCAGCACCCAGGTGGGGGCAATTACTATTGTGTTTTTCCCCAAACCATAACCTCACTTTTTCCCCGACGCCATTTTGTTTTATGTTTGATTTTCGATGATTAAATAAATAAAAATGCCCAGTGCGCATGATTGTTGTTATTCGTTTCGGTTATTCCCCTAAAACACTCACTTTTAGCAAAAAACACGTAAGTTTCGCCCGCTCGCATACCATGGCCTCATTCGATGACGCCATGGCCTCATTGAGTTCCTCCTCAAGTCACTTAAACCGCATGACTCGGAGTCAAGAACGCCTCCTCGACGTGAGAAAAGCGGAAGGACTTCCCATAACACGCCAACCGGAACCCTCCGACAATTTATTAATTATTGGTAAGTATGTTTAAGTATGCAACCAAATAAACACTTGTATTGTTGGTTGCCAGATAAAGTGAAGCGAGCCCCCATGAAGACTCAAGCCACTCAAACTGAGGCTTGTCTCGGACGTAAACCCTTCCCGCCCGGTGGTAACATCAACCTCAGCCCCCGTACTATTCACAGGGTATGTTTGTACGTTTTCGAAAAGATTCTATTATTAATTTCAAGGTGAAAATGGTAAGTCAAGGCGCCCAAACCAACGGTTTCCTCATCAACGGTCGCAAACTCATCAAATCCTTCTCCGAGGCCGGCACTAAATTCAAAAGTGAATTCCCCCCATTTGAACCAATCGCCGATCACGAGCCCCTCCAACGCACCCAATCGGATGAACCCCCCCGATCCCCCTTCATCGTAACGTCTCCTCCACATCTCCTCCCGAGCGACTCCTCCTCCTTGTCACAATCGGAAGATTCCGAATCGAAAAAAGAGATTTTTATCGATTTTAAGCCGCAAGTACCGACGAACAAAGTGGGCAAAAGGCCCCTCACCAAGACCGTCTCCGATGGGGAGATGCTACTCGAGCAGAGGAAGACGTTGAAAATTGACACTCCGGTGGTGAACGACAAGCAAATGGTGTCATACAGTCACGAAAATATCGTCCTGAGGGAGGAGGAGAGGAGTTTCATTCCTTATTTCCAAAAAGCCCCCATTAGACATGAGGGGATTTGTCGACCATTGGAGGATAATGTCTACTCCTCCCTGTCATTCGAGGATAACAATCTCCATACTCAAGACTCGATCGATGAGGAGTTCCACGAGAACCTCATCTACAATAGGATGTATATGGAGTACTCGCCGAGTGATGAGTGTGTGGTACCATCAGTGTGTCTTTTACCCGACCGAAAACTCTCTCCATTTGCCTCCAATGACTCACTCACAAATGACATCAGGTAGGGTTTGAAATTTTAATCACTAGTAATTTCGTATCAACAAGAAATTACTCCCTAAAATTTAGGGATATTCGTGAATAGGTTGCCATAAATTTGGTTAGGTTGGTTTCTGGTGACAAACAAAAGATTTTGTAACTAGTGTCAAAATTTAGGTTAAGTCACGTGTCAGCTTGTATAGGATAGTTGACAACAGGTTGACAGGAAACGTCAACCGTCAACAACAAGGGGTAACCAACCCTAGACATTCAAAATTACTTCTGAAAATTCTAGTTACAAACAACATGAAAAACGTAATTTTCCTAAAAGTTAAAATCTTAGGATAATTTCTTGTTGACAAATCTGTACCAAGGTACCCTGTCCCCAGGGACCACTCTGATGGTATCTGGAACGAATCCCAAGCAACTGTTCTTCAAGTCGATTCAGGTACTGATAATGGTACCGCTTTGAGTAGCTCCGAAATGACAACATCAGTGACATCCCCCGGTTCCGCCATCTTGCTAACGCCATCTTCCCGTCGCAAACACCTCCTCATGATGCAACACCAACAGAGATCATCCATGGACACCGAAGCCTTGGAGGAGGAGGGAGGGGCCACCTCCCCTCGGATTATAATCGAAAAACCGAAACAGTACTTGACTCCTGGCGTTGCCATCGTCCCCGATTTGCTCGACTCCTGCAGAACCAACACCGACGTCTCCGAGAGTACCACCACCGATGATTACATCACTGCCAACTCGGGAACGGACAGCTCCCGTGGCTACAACCTGCAAGCCCACCTCCAGGAGAGCTCCTTCGAGGATATGGTGGTACCGTCGTTTTCGCCCCCATTGGAACCCTCTCATAGTTTATCGACCACTCCCGTGCCTGAGGTGCGTACCGGCCGCTCAACTCCGTCCGAGTCGAGTTCTTCGTATGGAAGCTACAGCGTTGATGGTTCCTGTGCTGATCTTCTCGAACGCAGCAGTACCAAAGTGCCTTCAAAGGAGGAAACACAAAGACAAAGGCCGTTCACTCTTGATATCAAACACCAAACACTCAAAGCTTCGAAACGGGTCAAGTCAAGGACGCGAAGTCCACATTACCCCAAGAAGGGGTATGAGAACAAGGCGACTAGTGACGAATCCAGTTGCGATCTTGGGAAACACTCGACCAATCAAACATCGCCACGAAAAGGAAAGAAAGTGAAGGATAACAATAGGAGGAAGTCGTTACCGAGATCACCGACACAGAAGTCCAAAAAAAGTGTTGATTTGCAACCGTCTAGCTTACCAGGGAGTCTCTCGCGTCGGAAGTCCAAAAAGAGCACACTCACTTTGCACCACAGTCCTGACAAACTCAAAGCACTTAGTGCCGAATCCTTGCGTTCGGTGAGTCCTGGGAGTGACAGCGTCTTCTACAGCGACCCCAGTAGTCACACCGCCGACCACCAGGTCCATTGTCTCCACTGTGGCAAAGAGGTGGATATTGTGACCACCGATGACCCGGATAAGAGTCTCAGTAGTAACGGACAAGACATTGTGCAACCCCCGGCCGGTTTCGAGGACTCCCCACGTGCCAAACACCCCCCAGGTCGTCTCTACAAGAAACTCGACCGGAGATTTCGCTCCGAAGACCGCCAAGCCGACTATCGCCGACACAGATACAAGCCCGATGTGAGGGCTAAATCGGAGGAACGCGGGGCGAAGACCTACAGGGCGAAATTGCGCCCCATGGCCAAGTCCACGGATAATAGCCAGGAGGTGCTCAAAGCCACCGATTCGAGTCCTAGTGTGCTGCCTGGGGCCCCGGAGGATGAGGACGATCAAGGAGTTTATGACGTGCCTTACATGGAGGGAAGTTGGATTTATGTGGATGAGAGGGAGGAGGTGCAAAGGAGTAAGGGGATTACCCCCACGGAACAGGAGCCACCAAGGAGGGACTCCGTCTCGAGTACGGAGTCTGAACAAGAGTTCAGGAAGAGATATCAAGCTGTCACACATCGAATGGTGCATCGAAAATCATGCCTCGAGATGTACAAGAGGCAAACGTCGAGGTCGTTTGGTGAGTGACGCCAATTTTGACTGATTTGACACCAATTGAAATTTTGAAGCGATTATGCTAGAAGCGCGATTTTGGTGTCAAATGATAGATTTCGACGCGCTGATTACGAATTTGACCGATTTTTGAGGATTGGTGCAATAGTTTTGGCGCAAAACTCGTTTGAAACTAGAAAAAATTAGTCTTGACCCAAAATTCAAAAATAAAATGATTTTCGCCACTAAAATTGTTCAATCAGTTCATTTAAATCGCGAATAGGGGTTGTGCCGCCCCCTTAAACCCCGACTTTATAAATAGCCTCCTCATCGGTGAATGGAGCTCGCTCATAACATAAATGAGTAAAGCAGTCCCGTTTTATTAATAGAAAAGTGAAGAATGCGCTCGAAATAACTCTCACTTCAGTATTCGCGTAAAAATGAAACGGTTATAAAGTTATTCTCACCATGGCCTTAGGTATGCCCCTTTTTTTGTTGTTTTTTCTCAATCACGTGACCTTTAATTTGACATAAAGGAACATCACAGCCACCTGATGACGGCCAATTGCGTACCAAACTCGAAGAAATCCTGAAATTAATGTTGGTTATTTGGTGTCGGGAGAACCAAGCCTTGAACCTCGTCGCGAACCAAAAAAATGGTACACATTAGTTTAAAGAAGCTTCTCAAATTATTACATGAATTTGACATTTAACAAGTTAATTTTAAAATCACAGGCTACTATGTTTGACTAAAACAGTTGCGTCTTACCCAGTGTGGCTAACCTAACAACTTGTTTTCACCCCAAGAAGCCTGTGATTGTCAAATTATGTTTTCATCACAGAATAAATTTGATATTTCACAATCGTGCCAACTTAATTTCAAAGTCACTGGCCACTGTGTTTAACTAAAACAGTTGCGTTGTTGTTGAGAGTTTTACCCAGTGTGGCACCCTAACAATTTGTTTTCCCCTATGATCATTTGTCGGCAATAAGCATGTGATTATCAAATTACATTTGCATCATTGAATATACAGGGTGCTCATTTTATCTATTCCCACCTGAAGGAGCAAAAATAGGCAACATATTATACATTTCATAAATTATTTTGTGTCAAGTTTTAACTTAAAAAAAAATTCAAAACTCAAATTATTGTAATATTCGTTGCCTCTTTATGAAATGTAAGGAGGAAACAGATAAAATGTATTTGACATTCGTTGCCAACTTAATTTCAAAGTTTGACTTTAAAACAGTTGCGTTGTTGTTGAGAGTTTTACCCACTCACCCACTGTGACCACTCTAACAACTTGTTTTCCCCTATGCTCATTTTTTGTCGGCAAGAAGCCTGTTATTGTCAAATTATGTTTGCAATACTGAATAAATTTGACATTTGACATTCGTGCCAACTTAATTTCAAAATCAGAGGCCACTGTGTTTGACTAAAACATTTGCGTTGTTGTTGAGAGTTTTACCCAGTATGGCAACCCTAACAACTTGTTTTCCCCTATACTCATTTTTGTCGGAAAGAAATCTGTGATTGTCAAATTATGTTTGCATTACTGAATAAATTTGTCATTTGACATTCGTGCCAACTTAATTTCAAAGTCACAGACCACTGTGTTTGACAGCAGTTGCGTTGTTGTTGAGAGTTTTACCCAGTGCGGCCACCCTAATAACTTATTTTCCCCCAAAAACGAATCTCGGTAGAACCCTAACCTTGTCGCGAATAAAAAATAGTACCCCTTTAAACTAATCCAAAAAAAAACTGTGTTTGTCAAATTATGTTTGCATCACTGAATAGATTTGACATTTGTGCCAACTTAGTATCAAACAGTTGCGTTTGTTGTTGAGAGTTTAACGCAGTGTGGCCACCCTAACCGCTCATTTTCCCCTAGAATGCGACAAGACCGTGGTGGTCCACCGCGAATCCGGTGAGTTCGGATTCCGGATCCACGGCTCAAAACCGGTTGTTGTATCCGCCATCGAACCCGGAACTCCGGCCGAAACTTCCGGTCTCGAAGTCGGCGACATCGTATTAGCCGTGAACGGTGTTAGCGTCCTAGATAAGAGTCACTCAGAAGTGGTGAAAATCGCACATGCGGGGAGTGACACCCTCTCCTTGGAGGTACCCCCGCCCCCCGATTCACCACCCCCCTTAATTGTCAAATTGTAGGTAGCTCGGACATGCTACGCCCTCAATAGCCCCCATGACGAGCATTCCACAGCCCTCTACAGCGGCTATTTATGGAAATTGAGCGGTTACGCGTCGGGTAACCTATCAAACAAGTGGATTCGACGTTGGTTCTGCCTCAAACAAAACAATTGCCTTTATTACTACAAGACTGATTCGGTAAGTGTGTCACGTGATTGAGAGCCACGCCTCTTTAACCACGCCTCTAGGAGAAACAGCCAGTGGGCGTGGTGGTGTTGTTCGAACACGAGATACGCAAACAGAGCGATGATGAAGAGGGCGTGTCCAAAAACCACCGATTTGTTATCTACAAACCGGAGGCGGTGCCATTACACCTCGCTGCTGATAATAGCACCGCCCTTAACCGATGGTACGATGTGATCAATCGGGCGATTAATGACAGTCAAACAGTTGATGAGTTTGTGGAAAAAACAAAAAATAATCTAACTTTGGCGCCAAATTCAATTTCGAATCCGGATTGTTTCGGGTATTTGGTCAAGTTGGGGACCCAATGGAAGTCCTGGAGTAAACGCTATTGTGTCCTCAAGGACGCCTGTTTGTACTTCTACCAAGATGCAGGGTCCAAGTGTGCGTTCGGTAAGAAATTCAAATTTTGGCGCCTTTTTTTCAATTTTTTTTTTGACAGGAGTTGCATATTTGCAAGGTTATAGAGTCCAACAGTCGATTACGGGGAACAAAAAACACGCATTCGAGATAATCCCACCCGACCCGAGCAAAAAACACTTCTATTTCCACACCGAATCGGAAGCTGACCGAAAACGGTAAGAGAGAAAAATTGTATGCAACACGTGTTGAAACTTTTTGTAGATGGATCGCCGCACTTGAATACTCGATCGACCGATGGCTGAAAATACAATAACTTGATGTCTATATCACCTGTAGATGCATGTTTAACCTTATAATTTCGAAGAAATCGTTTTGCTCAATTGTTTCCTTGTATTATTATTTATAATAAAACTTTGGTACTATACTTAACGCACTGCCATTGTAAATAGTCGAATAAAAATAATAATAATAAAATCCAGTCACCTTAGACCACGTGTCAAGTCTCGTGTCATGATCGAATCACCTTCACGCCACGCTGAAGACATACAAAATGCCATCCAACAATCCAGTTCTTCGATCCACCAAAGTACAATTCAAATTTCCCGCCACTTTGTGCGATTTTCAAATTTCCCGCTTCAGGATCGGTTACCACCTCCGCCGAGTTGACGCAAAAAATTCAAGAATTGATTCACGGTAACACCATTCTAACCTACTATTTGCGCATGTCTTGGCAGCGAAAATTGTCCTTTTTCGATGAATTGATCAAAAGAATCAAGAGTTTGGCCACTATGAAGCTTGCCATAAGCACTCTTCAGTCGCTTTTGGGGAAATTAACAGCTTATTGCAAGTCGACGTGAGTAAAATCCCTAGTTTTGGTGACTTAACAATTGTTGGTAGTACTGCGACTCCGATGAACTACGATAAAGTTCTCTATGACCATGACCGGATGCTCGATAAGGACATTTTAGAGGAAAATATTGCTTTGGATTTGGAGTGGTTTGAGTCGATTGAGGATCAAGAACAAGTGGCTTATCTTATAGCTTTTTTGAGTATTTCGGGTCAGGCTTTAATGTGGATTTTCATCGCGAATTTGCAATCAGAGCTTGCGCATCGTCTCAAAACCCAAGTGAAGAAAGAAGAAGAAAAAGAAGAGAAGAAAGACAGTGAGGGGCTCCAAACTCACGATTTGGACGACCCTAAGCACCAGAAGTGTCTCCAATTGGAGAAAATCTGGGTGGAAAGTATGGGAAAATTCCGGAAGAAAGTCTACACCGAAAAAGAACCCCAAAAAAAGTCGAAGAAAACAAAGAAGAAGGGTAAAGATGAGTCACTTGATTGGGTATTATCGTTTCAAACACACTCCAGTCGTGCCAATCTCGTTTCCAGATCCAAATCATGCCAATCATGATCGTTAAAAAAATCTTCAACTACTTAGACAAAAAATCCCTAACTCGGGCCAAAAAAGTCAACGCGTATTGGAAATGGGCAATTGGTGATTTACTCAAAGACCGAAAAGTGCACAAATCGTTGAATAAAATCGATAAAAAGCTCCGGAAAGCATCCGGTGGGTGTTTTTCCCCCGAAAGTGACTTTTCAGAGGTTAGAGAACGAGTTGGTCACACTGAGCGGAGACTCCGGAAGTTGCAAACGCGAGGCGCCATTTTGGAACAGTTGAGACAAACTTCACTTCCGGCTGATAAAACCTATGCCCTTATTACCGACGCATTTCAAGTATTATTGTATCAACAAGAAATTACTCCCTAGGATTTAGGGATATTTGTGAATAGGTTGCCATAAATTTGGTTAGGTTGGTTTCTGGTGACAAAAAATTTAGGTTAAGTCACCTGTCAGCTTGTATGCATAATTTAATTGATAGTTGACAGCAGGTTGACAGAAAACGTCAACCGACAATAACAAAGGGTAACCAACCTTACGCATACAAAACTATTTCTGAAAATTCTAGTTACAAACAACATGAAAAACGTAATTTTCCTAAAAGTTCAAATCCTAGGTGGTAATTTCTTGTTGACAAATCTGTATGTTTTTTTTTAAGTTTTTGGTTGATTTTTGGTTAGACTTTCAGCGAAATAGCGCCGTTTGTGAGTGATGTGACTATGTATCCGAGAGTTGAGAGGAAAAATTCACCGATTTGGAAAAAACCAAAATTTATTGTCAAAGATTTGGAGATAATTTGTGAAGATACAGGGGATTTGTCTCTGTCAGAGGATGATACTGGGATTCACACGAATTTTTCGTCCTCGGTTCCGACAGTTGGCAGCGATGCATTTTGAATGAAATAAAGCATGTTTACTGAGGCTAAAAACGTTTTTTTATTCTTTTAAACAATTTCTAATAGCTTTGGTTCGGTTTGATCTGTCACTTGTCACTTCAGTAAAGCCACGTTTACACAAAAGCTGGGTCAAACAAATTCATCGCTTTAAATAGCATTTAAATAGTTTATTTATATAACAAATTGAAAATCAACATTGACAACATTTTCTGGAAATCGAAATTTTGACACAAATTCTCTCCAAAGTAGGCTTTAACGTCATTTCACAATTTGACATTTAAAATAATTATTTCATTATTCTCACGTTCAAGCTTGAATTTTCATACGAAAAATGTTAATTATTATTGTTTTTGTTCGGTGAGTGGTTTAATCTAGAAATAACATTATGGGGACAACAACTGACGCCTACAGTTAAAGTGAGGTTATTATCTAAGGGCCGTTTCACAGTTAATACAGTGGCGGACACTCTATGATTGACGTTTGAAATTAAAATTTGAAAGTTTTATTTAGTTGAAATTTATTTTTGGTGTCGATTTCAATAATAAAGCCAGCAATACGTGTTTTTATATAAGTTCAATAAATTGTTTTGATTTGTTGTCATTTTTCTTCTAGCTATGAGAATAAAAATAACAAAAACCAAAAGTGAGGTTAGTTGCCTATGTTTTACATTTTTATGCCAGTTGAATGACAAACAACGTGGGTACAAGGTGATCAAAAATGATTTTCCAGTTATCTGTCAAATTAAGTTTCAGTTTCGTAGCCATAATTACACTAGAGAGAGTGAATAAAACACCAATTTGGTCAAAAATTTATTGCCAACCGATTAACAACAATCACAATGCGTAAATACTGTAGTTTATTGTAGTGATCTAAGAGGATAATAACTTGGAGCGATATGTATTACCAACGATTAGAAAAAATACCCGCAATCGTTGACAATCCCGGGACAAAACTTTTGAGCTAAAACGGCATACGCCGAATTCCCCCTCGCCGCAACCCTCGTGCCGCCACTGTGCTTATTCCACACATGAATCACGTGACTATTTTTCGAAATATTGAGCACTTTTTCCGTGAAATTTTCATCGAAATACAGCTTCCAGTCCCACCAAGGGATGGGGTAGAAAGCCTCGACGGGGAATACCCTGAATCCTTGACAGTCCTTCTGCACCATTTCATTGGCCGTTTCCACGCCGCAGAGCTGCTTGAGGAGACGTGTGATGACGCCAGGGCCGTTGTAGCCCCAATCGTAGCCTTTGAAATTCTCGCTGAGGTCTTGGAGACAACGTTGGGCTAGTTCGTGGCCCAGACCCTCGGGGGTGAAGCTGAGGACGCCCGCGGCCACATTTCGGTCCGATTCCGAGCCTGCGTAGTTCGGGGGGAGGCCCTCAAGGGGTTTGGTGACGATCACGTCCAAGTCGAGGTAGATTCCGCCGAATTTCCATAGGGTTATGTATCTGGAAGGAGAGACAGTTGGCAACACTGGTACTGGATTTAGGGGGGCAAATAAAACTAACTCTATATGAAAATATACCGAAAAAAATCACAATAAAAATTAATGTTGAGTGTCTACTTTCAATTAGTTCGTCAAAATACAATAGAACCTCGGTTTCAAGAGAAGTTACGGATAATCGAGGTTCTACTGTACTTTTTTCTTGTTCTCTCTTTCTTTCACTCTCTTTTCCTTTCTTTCTCTATTTTTTCTTCTCTCTTTGTGTGTATGTGTTTTGGTTTATAGATATTCTTTCCCATTTCTTTTCTCTCTCTCTCTCTCTTTTTTTTCTCTCTTTCGTTTTTTCTCTTTCTCTCTTTTTTCTTCCTTTTACTCTTTATTTTTATTCTCTTCAAATCTTGGTTTCTCTCTCTTCTTTCTATCCCTCTATCTTTTTTGTCGTAATGAAGTCAGTTGGCAACACTGGTACTGAATTTAGAGAGACAAATTTTCTAAGTACGTCTCTGTAGATGAAAATCATTAAAACAAAAAGAAAATATAACAAATAAAAATTGACAAAATATAGTAGAACTTTGGTTATCCGAAATAATAAATCCCGATACACATATTTGAGAAAATGTTAAAGAGAGGAGTTTCGGATAATTGAGGCTGTACTACACTTTTTTTTCGTTTTTTTGTTACTTTTTTTTCTGTCTTTTTCTTCTTTTTTATTTCTTCTTTCTTAATTGTTATCTGTTTTTCTCTCTCTTTTTTACCGTCGCTTGTGGTTTTAGATGTTTAATATTTTTGGTAATCAATAAAATGGATCAGGTCAGGTCTCTCTCTCTCCATCATTTCTTTTCCTCTCTCTCTTTTTCTTTCTCCCTCCCTCACTATCTTTTTCTCTTTCTCCCTCGATTTCTTTTTCTCTTTTGTTGTTTTTAATTTTCTTTCTCTCTTTCTTTCTTTTTATCTCTCTCTCTCTCTCTCTTATTTTTTCGCTCTTTTTGTTTCCTATACATTTGAGTAAATGTTAAAGAGGAGTTTTGGAAAATGGAGGTTGTACCATATTTTCCTTTTTTTTCTCTTTTTTCTTCTCTCTTTCTCTCTATCTTATTCTTTCTTTTTTGGTTTTTTCTGTCTTTCTCTCTTTTTATCTCTTTCTCACCGTCGATTGTGATTTTACATATTTTATATTTTCTGTAAACAAAAGAATGGGTCAGTTCAGGTCTTCTTTCTCTTTCCTTCTGTCTTTTTTCTTTTTACTTTCTGCTATTTTTTCATTATTTTTTTTTCTTTCTCTTTCTCTCTCTTTCATTCTGGTTTTGTCGCTCTTTCTCTTTCTAAACATTTGAGTAAATGTTAAAAAAAAGAGTTTCGGATAGTTGAGGTTGTACTATATCTTTTTTTTGTTTTTTTTTGTTTTTTTTCTATTTTTTTCCCTGTCTTTCTTTCTCTTTTTATTATTCTTTCTTTCTTTATTTTTATCTGTTTTTTTTCTCTCTTTTGCACTGTGGCTTGTGGTTTTAGCTATTTAATATTTTGTGTAATCAAAAGAATGGGTCAGTTCAGGTCTTCTTTCTCTTTCCCTCTCTGTCTTTTTCTCTTTCTCTGTCGTTCCCACTTTTTTTCTTTACTTTTTGCTATTTTTTCATTAATTTTTTTCTTTCTCTCTCTCTTTCTGTTTTTTTCGCTCCCTCCTTTCTACACATTTGAGTAAATGTTAAAAAAAAGAGTTTCGGATAATTGAGGTTGTACTATACATTTTTTTTTCTCTGTCTTTCTTTCTTTTTCTTATTCTTTTTTTCTTTATTTTTATCTGTTTTTTTTCTCTCTTTCACCGTCGCTTGTGGTTTTAGATATTTAATATCTTTGGCAATGAATAGAATGGGTCAGGTTAGGTCTCTCTCTCTCCATCCTTTTTTTTCCTCTCTCCCTTTTTCTTTCTCTCTCCCTCTCTATCTTTCTCTATTTTTTTTTCTTTCTCTCTCTCAATCTGTTTTTTTTCACATTTGAGTAAATGTTAAAAAGAAGTTTCGGATAATAGAGTTTGGTAAAACTTTTCTTTCGTTCGTTTTACTTCCTTCTCTCTCTTTTTTTCTTTCTCTATGTACTCTATTCTTCTGAATTCCTCCTTATCTCTTTTTTCTTTCTCTCTCTCACTTTTCCTCACTTATTCTCTCTTTGTTTTTGCCTTTGTTTCTCTCGCAAACTTTTTTTCATTCTCTTTCTCTTTTTTTTTCTTCATGTACTCTATTCTTCTGAATTTCTCCCAATCTCTTATCCTTATCTATCACTTATTCTCTCTTTGTTTTTGCCCTGTTTGTTTCTCTCTCTCTCTCTCTCTCTCTTTCTAGTCGTTTTTTTTCTTGCTCTCTTTTTTAAACGTCGGTTTTGGTTTAAAAATGACAATTTTTTAAATACCCCCTGGATTGATGAAACATCAAAAAAATAATGTAACAAAAAAATAAAAGAAAAAAACAAAATGTAAATAAGAATATAAAAATTTGTAAAAATACAGTAGAACCCTGGCTATTCAAACTAATAAATAACAATACACATTTGACTAAATGTTAGTGTCGAATAATCGAAGTTCTACTGTTCTTTTCTCTCGTTCTGTTCTATTTCTCTCACTCACACACACTCATTTAATCGAGGTCCTACTGTACTTTGCTCTATCCCTCTCTTTTTTGTCTCTTTTCTCTCTCTCTTACCTTAGGACATCGCTGGCGTGCGACTGGGCGTAGCCCGAGAGCTCGATTTCGCCCCTTTTGTACAAATCCTCGACGGGAGTGTCCTTCGTGTACCTCTCGTAGTCGACATGGTGGATCCTCACATTGGGATAAGTCAATAAATTTTGCAGAAATCTGTCGGATTGCGTCCCCTCGAACCGGAAAATCCCTGGGGATGCAAACAGGAGATGGACCTCAAAGTTGGGATTGAGCCTCGCGGCGGATTCGACGGCGCACGCCTGTCGGGCCGTGATGGTGATTTTTCCGTTGTGAAAGGAATTACAAGAGGTTTCGTGGAAGAAAATGGACCTTCCTTTGGCTGGACGTGTGTCCGATATGTCGGGAAGTGTGTGGGATTTGTTGTGGTAGCATTGGATGCTCTCTTTGGGGTTGAAAAAGTAGTAAATCTGGTTGAAAAGTGACGAGTTTTGGGGCTGTGTTAGGAAAATTATTGCTATGATGAGGAGGGCGAACAGGAGGGTTTTTCGCGGGGTTTGGTGATTGAGCATTCTAGGGGTGGATATGGTGGAGACTATCACAGATAAGGGGGTGGGAGTCGATTTGGCTGAAATGCTGGAAAAATTGAGGATTTTAATTGAGAATTTCTTTGGTGGCGGTCGGAGAAGCCAGCAATTTCACCAGATTCGAGACCAGGTGAAAATTTCTCGCAAAAAAATTATTAAACCAAATTCAGATTTTTGACTCCCGATTTATCCAAATACCCTTTTTTCTCTCTTTCTTTCTCGCTTTTTCTCTTGCTGTCTCTCGCTCTATCTCTCTCTCTCTCTTTTCTGTTCTCTTGGTTTGTCTCTTTCTCTCTCACTGTCGGTGTTGGTTCAACAATAAGTCTCCCTTTTTTCTTCGTTCTCTCTCTTTTTTCTTTCTCTTTCTTGTTGTCTCTCTTTTTCAAACTCTTTCTCTCTCATTTTTTTTCCTTCTTGTTCTTATTTCCTCTCTCTCTATCTCTTTCTTTTCTCTCTTTCTCTTCATTCTCTCTTTTTGTTTAAAATTGTCACGTCTACTTTGAATTAGTTCGTCAAAATACAGTAGAACCTCGACTAGAGAAGTTTTGGATAATCGAGGTTCTACTGTACTTTTTTCTTGTTCTCTCTTTCTTTCTCTCTTTTCTTTCACTCTCTTTTTCTTCCTCTCTCTATTTTTTCCTCCCTCTTTATGTGTATGTGTTTTGGTTTTAGATATTCTTTCCCATTTCTTTTCCCCCCTCTCTATTTTTTCTCTTTCTCTCTTTTTTCTCGTAAAAAAAATTAAACCAAATTCAGATTTTTGACTCCCGATTTATCCAAATACCCTTTTTTCTCTCTTTCTTTCTCGCTTTTTCTCTTGCTGTCTCTCGCTCTCTCTCTCTCTCTTTTCTGTTCTGTTGGTTTGTTTCTTTCTCTCTGACTGTCGGTGTTGGTTCAACAATAAGTCTCCCTTTTTTCTTCGTTCTCTCTCTTTTTTCTTTCTCTTTCTTGTTTTCTCTCTTTTTCAAACTCTTTCTCTCTCAATTTTTTTTCTTCTTGTTCTTATTTCCTCTCTCTCTCTCTCTCTCTTTTCTCTCTTTCTSTTCATTCTCTCTTTTTGTTTAAAATTGTCACGTCTACTTTCAATTAGTTCGTCAAAATACAGTAGAACCTCGACTAGAGAAGTTTTGGATAATCGAGGTTCTACTGTACTTTTTTCTTGTTCTCTCTTTCTTTCTTTCTTCTCTTTCACTCTCTTTTTCTTCCTCTCATTATTCCTATCTCTATTTTTTCCTCTCTCTTTATGTGTATGTGTTTTGGTTTTAGATATTCTTTCCCATTTCTTTTCCCCCCTTTCTCTTTTTTCTCTTTCTCTCTTTTTTCTCGTAAAAAAAAATAAACCAAATTCAGATTTTTGACTCCTGATTTATTCAAATACCCTTTTTTCTCTCTTTCTTTCTCGCTTTTTCTCTCTCTCTCTCTCTTTTCTGTTCTCTTGGTTTGTCTCTTTCGCTCTCACTGTCGGTGTTGGTTCAACAATAAGTCTCCCTTTTTTCTTCGTTCTCTCTCTTTTTCTTTCTCTTTCTTGTTTTCTCTCTTTTTAAAACTCTTTCTCTCTCAATTTTTTTTCTTCTTGTTCTTATTTCCTCTCTCTCTTTCTCTCTCTCTCTTTTCTCTCTTTCTGTTCATTCTCTCTTTTTGTTTAAAATTGTCACGTCTACTTTCAATTAGTTCGTCAAAATACAGTAGAACCTCGACTAGAGAAGTTTTGGATAATCGAGGTTCTACTGTACTTTTTTCTTGTTCTCTCTTTCTTTCTTTCTTCTCTTTCACTCTCTTTTTCTTCCTCTCATTATTCCTCTCTCTCTATTTTTTCCTCTCTCTTTATGTGTATGTGTTTTGGTTTTAGATATTCTTTCCCACTTCGTTTCCCCCCTCTCTCTTTTTTTCTCTCTCTTTTTTTTCCTCCCTTTCTCTTTCTCTCTTTTTTCTCGTAAAAAAATTAAACCAAATTCAGATTTTTGACTCCCGATTTATCCAAATACCCTTTCCCCTCTCTTTCTATCTCTATTTCATTCTCACTTTTTCTCATTCTCTCTTCCTTTTCTCTTTCTGTTTCTCGCTCTCTCTCTCTTCTCTTTTCTGTTCTCTTGGTTTGTCTGTTTCTCTCTTACTGTCGGTGTTGGTTTTAGATATTTTGTAGAATCAAAAGAATTTTGAAATTTTCATTTCTTTTTTTCTCTTTCACGTTTTCTTTCTCTCTCCCTCTCTTTCTTTTTCTCTTTTTTCTTACACTCTCTCTCTCTTGTCTTCTCTTTTTTAAACTCTGTTTTTTACTTTTTTCGTTCTTCTTTTCTCTCTCTCTTTTCTCGCTTTCTCTTCACCCTTTCTTTTTGTCGTATGTTAAAATAGTCAAGTCGTCTCTTTCTCTCTCCCCTCCTCACTTCTTTTTTCTCTCTTTCTCATTCTCTCTTACCGTTGGTTATAGATATGTCTCTCTCTCCCCGTTCTTTCCCCTTTCTTTTTTTCTCTCTTTTTATTTTTTTTTTCTTGTTACCTTTCTTTCTCCCTCCTCTTTTTTCTGTCGTTCTTTGTCTTTTTCTCTCACCGCTTGTTTTATTAATTTTGAATATTTTATATTTCAAGTCTCATTTCTCTCTCTCTGTTTTTCTTTCTCTCTCTACCACTCTCCTCCTTTCCTTTTTCTCGTTTTCTAACTTTTTCTCTCTCCCTCTCGTTTGTTTTCTCTCTCTCTTTTTATCTTTTCCTTTATTTATTTTCTTTTTCTTTCTTGCTACCTCTTTCTCTCTCCTTCTCTTTCTTTTGTCAAAAAAAAACTAAAAAGTTTTAAAAAATTGAGCCATGTCAGGTTTCTCTCCTTTCTTTTTCTTTCTCCCTATTTTCTTTCTCTCTCTTTCTTCTTTTCTTTTTCATTCTTTTTTACCTCTTTCTCGGTCCTCTTTTTTTTTCTGACTCAGTCTCTTATTTTCTCACTCTCTTTTTTATCTTTCCCTTTCCTTTTCCTTTTCTATCTCACTCTTTCTTGCTACCCTTTTTCTCTCCTCCTATCTTTTTTATTAAGAAAAAAATTAAAAAGACCTAAAAGATTGAGTCAGGTCAGGTTTCTCTCCATTCTTTTTCTTTCTTCCGATTTTCTTTCTCTCTCAATGTTTTTCTTTCTCTGTCCCTCTCTATATTTTTCTCTCTTTCACTGTCTCTTTTTTCTCATTCCCTTTCTTTTATTTTCCTTTTCTATGTAACATTTTCTTGCTACCCTTTTTTCTCTCCCTATCTTTTTTTAAGAAAAAAATTAAAAAGACCTAAAAGATTGAGTCAGGTCAGGTTTCTCTCTCTTCTTTTTCTTTCTCTCTCTACCTCTTCTTTTTCTTTTTCTCTCTTTTTTACCTCTTTATCGGTCCTCTTTTTTTTCTCACTCTCTTTTTTCTCATTCCCTTATTTTATTTTCCTTTTATATATCACTCTTTCTTGCTACCCTTTTTCTGTCTCCCTACCTTTTTTTTATAAAAAAAATTAAAAAGACCTAAAAGATTGAGTCAGGTCAGGTTTCCCTCTCTTCTTTTTCTCTCTACCTCTCTCCCTTTCCTTTTTCTCTCTTTTTTTACCACTTTCTCTCCCTCTCTTTTTTCTCTCAGTCACTCTCTTATTTTCTGACTCTCTTTTTTCTCTTTCGTGATACCCTTTTTCGCTCTTCTTCCTTTTTTTCTGTCGTTCTTTCTCTCTTACTTACCGGTGCGTCGGTTTTCGTTTCGCATTTCATATAAAATGGTAACTTTGAAATCTTGTTTCAATTTATTTGAATGGAGTAAAGTAACAAAAAAATATGAAAGAAATTAATCAAGAGAAGTATAAAAAATGTGTAATTGTTTCTGAATATTTTATTGTTCGAAATGAGCCAAAACGAGTTAGAATAAATTATGCCAAATTAGTCGTTGCAATCACGTCATTTGAGGACCAAGTCCGAATAAAGACACTATTAGAACGCGTATTATGCAATTATAAGTAATAAAAAAATTAAAATAGCAAATGGCAAGGCTTAATTTCTAATAAAATATTAAAATAAAAATAAAAAATTACCTTCACACTTTGTAAAATACTAACAAAAAATAGTCGCACAATGCACTTAATAATATGTACTCCGTTTGGGCAAATATTTGCCTCGTTTAGATCCAATCTGCTTCTTCTACCGACCCCAACCAAACAATTATTTCATTATTCACAAGCAAACAACTCTATGCTTTTATCACCAAAAACTCACCGCATATCTCTCTCAATTTACCATTTTCTTGACACTTGACACTAAATCTATACTTTTCCATTGATATGTAAGTAAAACTTCCACCAGATTGGTCATTCTTCCGTTCTAAAATGATAAATCCGCACTCACTCCCCACGTTGTCATATCTGCTGCTCCGGAGACGTGGGCACATTATTGATCTTCGTACCCTTGAACCGGGATGGAAAAGCTCCCACAGATGCGGCGGTGGATGGAGGATCGATCGGGAAACGACCCCCATTTCACCCCAATTCGATCCAACTTCGAGAAATTGGATGAATTTTTCAGCCCCAATTACAGTTTTGAGCCAATAAAAGTTTTAGTAGAAAAAAAAACAAAGTCTGCAACACGGTGCTAGTCTCCAAATGGTGTCAATCAATACTTTACACGGCCAAAATAGAGCATTTTTAGTGTGATTCCGGCTTTTCATTTCAAAACTCGCTTCAAGTGCAATGCGCGCCGTCAGGTGGCGCTGGCCACACACCGCGCCAAATTCAAATAAGATAAGCTTGAACTCCAACTTTTGACCCCTGACCCGATTTTTTGTACTTTTCCCCCAAAAAAACACTAAAGTAAACAAACTTGTTTATCTGAAATATTTCACTCACTTGTGAAAACATTCCAATTACCTTTCTGTTTCAATGATTTTAAAAACGGACACTACATTCTTCAAGATCATAGGTCGCTTTAAAGATAAAACTAATCGCTCGTGTTGTAACTTTTATTTATAAATCAAATAACTTCAGTGTTGATGTAAAGTTTGTGATGCAAAAATGATCGAGTTTTTGGCCACTTTTGGGTTGTTTTATGTGACGGTGGCGCTACTACCTTTGCTCGGATTAAGCTATTTTGGTATGTGCAATATTTAACAACACAAACAAGTCATTTAAATCGTTTTATTACAAAAAACAAAATTATCAATTATATGAGATAGGCAACACAATTAACACGTTGTAATATTGGTTGCCTACATTTAAAAAAATTTCTAACGTTTTTTAGTTCTAAACTTCAGTCACAAGCTTTGGATCTTCACAATTTCAATCCTCCACCCCAATGTCGAGTTTCTTCGCACTATAACAGTCCGCACCCTGCTTGACACTCACCGCAACCAAGGAATAATCTCAGTTTTGCTCTGTGTCAAAGGTCAAGCCCAACCTGGAGCCATCCGAAGACACCTCCAGGTATAAACCGCCCCCTTTTTGGCTCCTCTTCTAATTACTTGCACAGGAAGTGGTGCGAAGACGCGACAAATCGGGTAATTTATCATTCCCGCGTCTACGCCACTGTCTCGTCACCAGGTGCGGAACGTACGCTTGGGAGCGGGGCAAATTCGACTTGGACCAAAACATCACAGTGGCCCCTTTGAGTTACAAGGGACGAGCCGTCACTGAATACAACATCCAGGATTACGTGAGCGAAATCGTGTCGAAATACCTGCCACAGGGGATTCCCCCTTGGCAGATCATTATTATCCCCTCGTCCGAGGACCAACATTACATTTTGTTAAAGTTGCATCACGTTTTGTTAAACGAGGGGTTGAATATCGGTGATTTGTTACCACTAATTCCCCCAACGAAACAAAATTTAGGGTAATTGACTACTACCAACTGCGCGGGTGATTCAAATTGAGTTTTAGGGTTTTCGTTACGAAAAGTCCCCTAGTTGAGGTGTTGCCCAGACTGGAGGCAATCCCCAAATTGAAGCAACGACTAGGGGAGGAAATCGCCAACTCGTGGAACGAATTTATTTCAAATTATGACCCACTTGAATGTACCCAATTGCTTAAAACGACACCAGGGTTTTTTGAATTTCAGGCAATCACGTTGGTAGCACTGGTCTCAACTGTCAAAGAGTGTCGGAGAGGTTTTCGAGTCATACGGAGTGACGTTTTATCACGATGTAAATTTATCATTTTGACGTTTAAACGCGAATGCAAGAAACGTAAAGTGACATTTAAAAATGTCCTAAAGTCGGTTTTAGTGACTTTAGATCCGAGGAATCTTGTCAAATTATGTGTCAAATATGTCGCCATTTTGGTAACATGGCCGTTGCGTCTCCATTTTGTTTTCTATCGCGAATTTGTGGCTTTGTATAATTGTCTCGTTGTGGGTTACTGTAGTTACAACAATACCATTGTTGGTACTTTGTACACTTATGTACCATTGGTGTACCAATGTTTGAGGGAGGTGTCCCAGTATGTTGGTATTGTGGTTAAAGCTCCACGTACCATAATTGAGGATATCCTCCTCCAGAAGGAATCCTTCCAGACTATAACTCTCTGTGGGCGAAAATCAGTCGCATGGTCCGATTCTGTCAAAATTGACCTTTTGAGGTCAATCTCCAAAGCGACAGGAGTGTCCGAAATTGAGGTCCTCCTAGCTGCAATCTCCTCCTGTCTGTCAAAATATTTCCTCCAAACCAAGCACCTAATCCCTGATTCCCTCCCAATTTCCCTCAGGAACATCAACTCGAACTACATTTTCGGGACTGGCCCCAATTTGAGGCCCGAGGATTCAGTCAGCGGCATTTTATGCCTCAATTTACCGATCCTTGACCCCGAGAAACAAACCTCAACATTGGAGAATCTCCTCGAAGTTAAAAATAATTTCCGTACAAGTTTAGAAAAACAAGGATTATCACACTTGTTGAGTTTGTGTCAAACAAAATTCGGTTTTTTGACCAAAATCCTTCCTTTATCACTACTTTCAGTGTATTTGCGCTACTTGTCGCGAAAATACGCCGTTTCGGTGACCGAATTGACCAGTCGCTACCCCAACGTGAGTCAGAAAACACTCTGGGGACAGGAAGTCACCTCGGTGATTTACTGGCGCCCTCCACAGGCCAATTCCAGTTAGGGATTTTGTTTTGGCACAGTTGCAATTTAGTAATTTTGCTTTTCTAGGCGTGTCACTCTGTCTGAATGAATACGCCGATCATGTCCGATTGGGGGTTATGTGTGACTCACAACTCGCCCCCCACCACCCATTAATGGCACGAGGCTTCACCGAACACGTCTACGAACTCGCACGAGCGGTCGCCGTACTACCAACACAATAAAAGTCTCCACGAAATTGTGTTTTATTTTCACCTGGAGTTTGTCCCCAGTTCTAGGGATTTTTTAATTTTAGTTACAAGCGTAGTCGTTTAGGGACTTTTGGCGCTACAATCAGGGACACCGCGTGAGTGTGCCAGTCGCACGCCAGCATTCTGGGGGAAAAGTAGTGCCAACTCGTGTGAAACTACAAACTAGTTTGAACCGGATTTTTGTGAAAGAGTTTTGTGTGAGAAAGTGTGATAAAAGGTTGGCTTTTTTGAGTGATAAGAGGTCAAGTACGCCACTGGAACGCGGTGGTGTGGGTCAAGGTTATGCACCTGTTTTTGTGAAATAAAAATGTAAAAAAACGAGATAAAAATAGAAAAGTTGGCTCAATGACAAGTATAAAGCAGTATAATCGAGTTTTAGGTGAAAAAACTGCTTGTTTGCCCTCTTTTTCACTTTTTTGAATAAATCAACTTGGCTAAGTAAACAAAAGCTAGTTGGGGAGTGAATCAGCTGACTGTGCTAAATGACCGAAATCCAGCTTTTGCGAATATTTTACGAATGTTAAATTGAAAATTTTACGTAAAATAGATAAAATGAAAAGTTTGACCTTGAACGTTAATTGTTTTCCCTGATAACGAAAGAAAATCAATGAAATGTTATGTATGACAGTTGCTAACAAATTGAGTAAAAAATTCCGTTGCTACGCAACGTTGACACACTTTTATTACCAACTAGCATAAATTTCCCTAATAAAAAAATTAATTTTTTTTCGGTTCGTTGACATTTCGCGTGACATTTTACAATAAACAAATGCATAACAATTAAAAACAATAATACACAGCCTACTTAATCTCAGTTAACAAGTCATAATAATTAAGCCAATTACAAGATAGAAAGTATTATTGGCATCTGCCGCTTCAATCCGGATCATTTTTACGTCACTGAATCAATAATTCGACGAAAATCTCGCGAAGAAAATTTATTTTTTCCCTAAAACCGGCTTGAACCGCAAAAATCGAGCATGCTTTGACCGTGGCCGTCTAGATAAAATCTATTTCAGATGCTTCGATGGTAGAGCAACTCAAACCGCAGACTGAGTTGAGTAAAGACCCCCGTTTGAGGCTAGATGACGACCGATACGGTGATTCCCCTGGACGAGGTCAGCGAGGCCTCGACCTTGACCGGGAAACCCCCGAAACCGAAGATACCCGACGGCGGATGGGGCTGGATGGTCGTGCTCTCGTCCCTCGTCATATCCCTGATCCAGGACGGGATAAGCTTCTCCTTCGGGATCCTCTACACGGAGTTTGTGGAGGAGTTTGAGGCCTCCAAGAGTACCACTTCCTGGATCGGGAGCCTTTTCCTCTCAGTGCCTTTGATGACCGGCCCGATCATGAGTGCCTTGGTTGACAAGTATGGCTGTCGGGCGATGACGATCGTAGGCGGCTTGGTCTCGGCCACTGGATTCCTTTTGAGTTATTTCGCGACAAATGTCATTGCGATGTATTTGACATTTGGTGTCATTTCGGGAATGGGGTTAGGTTTGACGTATATTACAGCAGTGGTGTCAATCGCATTCTGGTTTGATAAAAAACGGAACCTTGCGGTGGGACTAGGGGCATGTGGTACCGGGATTGGTACTTTTGTCTACGCTCCGTTTACCACCCTGTTGATTTTCGAATATGGCTGGCGTTGGACTGTCATTCTACTCGCCGGGACTTTACTCAACATGTGCGTATGTGGCGCCCTCATGCGTGATCCCGATTGGATAATCGAGCAAAACAAACAACTATCGAGCAAATCAAGCTCACTATCGAATATTTCGCAAGAATCGAAAACAATCGAGCTTGAAGAAATTCGCGAATTGTTGAAAAATGGCAAAGATGCGGAATATATCCTCCAGACATTGGCGACTTCGATCCATCGCGAGGATAAAGGACAAAAAATTGAACATCACCAGTCGGTACTCAACCTACCGACTTTCATACGTCAAAACGAAAAAGTTGGTAGCACTGTGTGAAACTTGGTAAAATTGATGACACTAAACTCCCCATTAGGTACCAGCCGAAGTCCTAGAACAGTTGCAAGAAAACAAAAAACTCTACCGTGTCATCGTGGAGAATTACCCGAGTTTGCTCCATTGTCGCAGTACTTCGGAAAAAGGCTTGAATAAAATGGAGGGGGCTATAACCCGCATCTCACTCAAAGTGAAAAAAAGCGACCGGAAGGCTGTAACGCATCAGGTGGGCGTTTTAGTGTAAGCCACGCCCTCGTGACTCCTCCCATGTTTCAGTTTTCCCTCCCCGAGAGTCCTGCGATTGTTGAGAAGAAAGCGAAAAAGACGGACACGCCATGGCTGGTAAAACAATTCAGTACTACCACCACACACCCAAATTATTTTAAAAATATGAGGTTCCCTAGGCACTCGCTTATACACCGCGGCGCCATTTTGAATAAAAATAAGTACAAGTTGAGAGCGTCAAGTTGTCCGAATATATATCGAGTGTCCATGACAACGTTGGTGAAAGACGACGATGAGGTTGGTAACACTGTCACACTTTTCCCCCCCATCTGTCATTTACTTTTTCAGCCATGGTATTCGGGTCTTGTCAAATTCGTTAATCTTTTCGACGAGTTTCACTTTCTTTTAATGTCTGTCTCTACTGTCATTCTTTTTGCTTGGTTTATGACACCTTATTTCTACTTAGTCGACCATATGAAAGACTCGGGATACACCAAAGACGAAGCCTCCTACGTTTTATCGACGATAGGCGTGGCTAATACCATCGGAATGGTGATTGGTCCACCCCAACCACGCCTTTTTCACTCCAACCAATCGTGATTTCAGGTGGTGCTCGGCTGGGCCGGCGACCAATCATGGACCAACGTCACGAAAACGTACGGTATTTGTCTTATACTATGCGGGGCATGTTGCTCCGCCCTCTATTTCTACACTGAGAATTATATTATGGTGCATATTTTGGGCGCCCTCTATGGCATTTTTCTCGCTAGTAGTTTTTCGTTTACGCCAGTTCTGTTGGTAGAACTGTTACCGTTAGAGACGTTCACTAAAGCCTACGGATTGCAATTGATGTGTCAAGGGATTGGTCACTTGGGGGGTCCACCGTTTGCCGGTAAGTAACACCAACTGTGGGAAAATTGATGTGAAAATGACCGGTTGGTAGCACTGCTTGCCGATATTACCCGAAGTTGGAGCTATGCGTTTTATTTGAGTGGAGTTATGATCGTCATTTCGGGGATTTTGATTCTGGTCATTCCCTATACGGAAAATCGGAAAATTTTTGGGCGTGGCCTAGTCGAGAAGGAGTTAGCCAATGAGAGAGCGTGATCATGATATTTAAGCCTACTTAAACTGAGTACTTAATTTAATAGTATTGTCGTTAATAAAGTCAAAGTTGACAGTTTTGTGACATGTTGTGTTTTGTGCCCCTCCTTGTGTTCCTGGCTCCGCCTTGTAGCCCCTCTCCTGTGGTCTACGTCATCAACAATGGCGGTTTTTACCCCCCTGCTCATATCACAAGTGGAATTATAGCCTCCGAAAACTATATAATAACCCCCAACTACCCCTTAGCCCACGTGGTAGTCCCCCACGTGTGTGTCCTACCGGCTACCAACCTCCTCAAAGTTACCAAAACTCACGTCCGAAACTTCTGCAAAAACATCAAAAAAGTCATTTCACTATACGAAATATCCCTACTGGAGCTAACCCAACCCCTCATTTTCACTTATAAAGTCAACGTGGCCGCGATACCTGCAGTGAAGACCCTCGACAGCCCCCTAGACTGTCATTTGGTGGTGAACAAAAGAAAGAGCAATGTTGTGGTCTCACACGGTTTGTTACCAGTAAAATGGTCAAACTCAAGCGTTAAAATCGATAATGGTCCCGATTTTTGCGGCGTCGACACTGGTTTACCACTTTATTGCCAAGATGCAGTTGTGGGGGTTATGGTGTTAACACAAGTCAAAGACTTGTGTTGCCCCACTTTGTGTTTACCGCTCGAGGAAGTGAGGATTCTTGGACTACATGGGGCGCAAATGCAGGACTTGTTACGGGAAAAAATCGGTATTTTTGATCAAAGTTAGGTTATGTTCAAGTGTCATTCGTTACGAAAATTCGCAAATAAAACCCCTATTGTTGTCTGATTTGAGTAAAAACACGGAATAAATGTATAATTTATTGATTTTATTGGTGATACGGAAAGTGGGGTTATGTCACTTGAGTTACAGATTTCTTACTTACCGACTACGGGTAAAATAGTGCCGAATTTGGTACTTATTGAGCGCTAATTCATTCAAAAGTTTTATTGAACACTAAATAAGAACGTTTTGGGTGTGTGTTCCCCTGCTGTATTATTATTTGAATTTATTTTGTCAAATCAAATTTAAAGATGTCGTACTTACCGGCTGGGTACAATGGCGTCGGCATAAAAGACGGGTTTTTGCTATTTGAATAGTTTTATTGATTTACTCTACCGATATTAATACAGTAAAGATATTAAAAACTATGAAACAACGACTGGCCCCAAATTAAAACAGCTTAGATTTATTAGAACGTTCTTTAACGTGGGACCCCATCGTATTGGAGATTTCCTACTTATAAGAGTAGCTAAAGGCATGAATTTATTGACGGGGACACTAAATATATTGAAATTAAGGTACACTCTAATCAAAACTAATGAGAATCCATACTGAAAAGGTAACTCAAGTCGAAATACTGTCGATTAGTATTTGAAATGTTGTACTATGAGGAAAAATAAATAGGGAAAATACTCGTAATTGTCGAAAACAACTCGTACTTCGAATCACAGCTATGCTTATAATTCAGATGGGCACGGACATTTCGGACCCGTTGCGTGAGGGGCTCCGCCCCGCGTCCGAAACCTCCCTTGCACCCACCGAACAACAAACTTGAAAAAATAACAATTGAATGGTGCATGATTGTATATCAGTGTCTGGTCTAACACAGCCTAAATATATACAAGAAGTAATAACATTCCCCTACGATTTTGAACCTGAGATTCGGAAAACTCTACAGAATAATTAATTGAACTTTCGACTCGTCTAAAATCGCATGCACAAAAACCGACATCAAAAAAACTTAAGTTCACTTGTGATTATTAAATGTGACTAGCGCCACCAGTGGCCGGCTTCTGAACCGTTTTTGACAGACACGCCGCGATAATATTCTGAAATTTCGCCTCTTCAAACTCTTCGTTACGTTGCATGAAACGTTTGTAACGTCTCACGAAAGGCATGATGATCAAAAGTAGCCCCGAGAGGGCTATAAACAGCCCCGCTAAATAAAACGACAAGTTGTAATTATCCGTTTGGTCGTAGAGCCAACCTGAAAGGGTGATAATCATCACGTGAGCACACTAGTGGGCGGAGCTTACCTCCAAGAGGCGGACCGATGAGATTAGCCACGCCTTGAACCAGCAGTAGCAAACCGTAAGCGTTGGTAAAGCGATCCAAAGTGATCAATTCGACGAGAATTATACACGTGAGTGAGTAATTCGCTGCTATGAAAAACCCAAAGGCACCGGAAATGACACACAGGGACCAGTAACTGTCAATGAGGGGCACAATTGCTGTCACGGCCCCACACAGCCCCATACAAATGGCGTAGATGATGTTGGCGTTGGCCCATGACCGGTCTCCGGCCCAACCCAGGATCACCTTCAAGGAAAAAAAAACTAACCTTAATTTTTTGCACCCTATAACAGTGTGAAATTTCACCAGATCTGGCAAGAAATTACCAACTTTTAGGACAATTACGTTTTTCTTAAGGTTGGTTATCCCTTGTTGTTGACGGATGACTTAACCTAAATTTTGACACTGGTAAACCTAACCAAATTTAATTTATGGCAACTTATTTACGAATATCCCTAAATCCTAGGGAGTAATTTCTTGTTGGCACAACAATAGTTTAATGAATTGGTGAAAACTTAAAAAAAATTCTAATTTGTGATGATTTTTTTAGCATTTTGCACGTTTTTTTTGGCTATGCAGAAACTCAAATGCTAAATTTTCTCAAAAGAAGTTGAAAAATCGAGAGATAGTTTTGCTTTTCTAAATATTTCACTCAACAAGGTAAAAAAATCGCTAAAATGGGTCAAAAAGTACATTATTTTGTCAATTTCTGTGCGTTTTAGTATGTTTTTAGCCAGAAACAGAACTATTTTGCTGAATTTCGTTAAAAACAAACCGAAAATTTATCAAATTAGGCCAAAACTAGTGTTTTTAGAGTGTTTCAGCACGTTTTTCTGATTTTTGAGCAAAATTAATAAAAAAAAAAACTAAAAATTGGTCACAAATAGTGTTATTTATAACTTTCTCAAGCATGTTTTTATAAAGCCTCATTTTTTTGCAATATTTTACTAAAAGAGATCAAAAAATTAGCAAATTCATTCCAAAATTATATTATTTTTCTCTTTCTTGAGAGTTTCAACACGTTTTTCGGCCAGAAACGCAATTATTTCGCAAAAATTCTTTAAGAACAAACAGAAAATTTACTAAAAATAAAATGAAAACAATTTTTTTGAAAATTTTTTCTATAATTGGTTCTAAAACTAACAATCTATTTTGCAAGAACTTGTCAAAACACGCGTAAAAATCAGAAAAACAAATCAAAATTCATGATATTTTCTTTGTTTCACTTAATTTAACTAGTTTTTCATTAAAAAGTAATCAAAAACAAGCAGAAAAATCGGAAAATTTGATACAAAATTACTGTTTTTAAACTTGTAAACATGTTTTCCAAGTAAAATCTTACGTTTTTTGTGAGATTTTTCTAAAACAAGCCAAAAAATTACCATTAAATAAAAAAATCAAATAGTTTTTGCCTTTTTCGAGTGTTTTAGCACATTTTTCAGCTGAAATTTTTTCAAATTAGGTAAATAATATTATTTTTCCAGTGACTAAGAGCGTTTTTAAGATAAAAACAAATTTTAACAACAAATTTTTCTAAAATTGTCTGAAAAATTACCAAATTAGATCGTTATTTCATTATTTTAGCTGGTTTCGCTCGATTTAGTTCGTTTTTGAACCAGAGACTCATTTATTTTGCAGGATATTGTCAAAACTTGCTTAAACACAAATCTAAAGTTATGTTATTTCGTTTGTTTCATTCGATTTAGCTCTTTTTGAGTGAAATTTAAAAAAAAAAATAGGACGAAAAATACAAAATATGGTCGAAAATGGTGTTAATTGCAAGATTTTGCTAAAACAAAACAAAAAACATCAAATTAAGTCATTATTTTTGCCTTTATCAAGTGTTTTAGCATGTTTTTCAAGTAAAAACGAAATATCGGGTGACTGTAAATGATTTGGTGTCAAATTTAAAATTTAATTTGGCAACCTTGACTGTCAAATTCAAACGTCAAATTTTTATAGGCAATTGTCATGCATTTGCGACGGGCCACTGCTGATTTAGCCGTCACCTGAAACATTCTGATATAACAAATTTAGGATTACCACTATTTCAGTGTTGCCAATACACCCGGTATTTCAGAAAATTTAATTAAAACGTAAATCGTCGATAGTATTAAAAAGATTTAAAATGGTGTACATCTGGTAACTTTTTGGCTCAAATCTGGTGAATTTAATTGTTTTGAGCTGGCAATTGCACCCTAACCTAACTTTTCGCTCACCTCGCCCAACATGTTGATAATCCCAATAATGGAGATGAGTAGTGAAGCATCCTCCTCCGAATAGCCCAAACTCCTCGCATGATCCGTTAAATACACATAGGGCACATCATACCACGTGTACAAACAAAAATTCGAAATGGCAAAAAGTAGGTATTTCACATCGGCGAAATGCGAAAAATCGAACATATCGACGAGTAAATCCCAGAAATCCCACAATCCGGCATACCACTGTGATTTTTCTTTCGCAATGGTGGTCATACTGTTTCGGTAAATGTCGGGACACGAACTTGCCCGAAGTCGATACCGATTGATATTCAACATGGCGCCACGGTACGTCACCGATAACCTATGCACTCTTAGATCTTTCAAAAATGCTGTTGGTAGTTTACGATTAGGGTTTCGTGGTGGTGAGATTTGGTTGCGTTTCAGCCACCATAAATAAGCTGGGTCCTGATTGGTGGTTGCAGGTTGTGGTGGCAATTGTTTCAAGTAGGCCTCGTTAAGGCGTCCCGAATCACTGAAACTCCGTGAAGGTGTCAACAAGTTCGGGTAATTGGCCAATAAAACATTGTAAACGTTCTTGTGTTGTGATAACAATTCGATTACTTCAATGGGGACTTTTTCGCCGTTTCTGACATAGGTTGGTAGATTGACAAGTGACGATGACAGTCGATCTGTCATATCGAGACATTCCGGTGTTTCCCCGATTGGTTGAAGGCCACTAGCCGTATTTGTGCTATTACTAACTGAGAATGAGTCAGCTGAGGAGCCTTTCTTACGTTTCAAATTTCGGTTTCTTTTCCTTTCTTTTGCTAGATTTTTGAGTTTTTTTGACGTCCATGGTAAGTCACGCATGACAGCACCACAAACGGCTAGATTGAGAAATAAACCGGCAAGAATCAAGGTTGTGCCTCTCCAACCGTACTCATTTAGTAAAAACTGAATAAACGGTGCAAAAATAAAAGTCCCTATACCACTCCCACACACAGCCAACCCAGTCGCGAACGATCTCTTCTTATCAAAATAGTAGGCGACGATAACCACCGACGCTACGTAGCAAAGACTCAAACCAAAACCGGCCAAAATCCCGAAGGTAATACAGAGAACTGTCATACTATTCGCCCTTGAACTGATAATAAACCCGGTTGAGGCTAAAACCGAACCGAAAATGGTAACTTTGCGACAGCCATACCGATCGGTTAGAAAACTCGCTATGGGCCCCGAAAGTAACGGCATCGCCATGAATAAACTCCCAATCCAGGCGGTGGTTCCCCGATTTTGGCCAAAATACTTCAAGAATTCGACGAAGATGACGCCGAAACTGAAGGTGATCCCATCGGCGATGAGATTGACCACGAAGGAGGCGACTACCACCACCCAGCCCCAGCCCCCATCCGGGGGCGTCGCCTCGCTGAGATCGAGACTCGAACTGGAACTCGAAGAGAGACTAGTGGTGCTGGTTTGGGGCTTGTCGAATTGGACACAACGCAATGGGGGCTTGTCGTCCTCCATGAGGGGCAAATGCTCACCACCGTTCACTTTAATATCACTATGTGAGGTTAAATTCACTTTCGGGGGTGTGTCCATGGCGTTGTCGGCCATTCTTGTAAGTCTCGACTGAATTGCCGCCGAAATTTAGACAAACGGTGGGCGTGGCCCATACGGAGGAGGGGCGGACTATGCCGGATGATGATTGGTGCACGCTGACGTGCCATGCGGCCACGGAGGTTGGAGGTTGATCTGAAACACCAATCAAATTATCACTACCTAAAACACCCACTTCTTACTTTGCTAAATCGACACATGAGTGAATCCCCGGACCAGCTTGTATATGTATATGCGTTTTTTCACACGATTTTGATAAAATACTCTGTTTTATCACTCGACTTGAGGTCAAAGACACTACATTCGACGTAATTCTGACACAAAACACGATAATTAAGTAATTCGACTAATTACAATTATTACTGTAACCTACGTGCAACACCACAATGTCAAATAACTTGGCAAACTGACTTTGCGGTTAATTTTATTTTTACGATCAAACATTTTACGTCAATTTTGCATCCTAAATCTTATAAATAGCGCGGGGAAACGTCAGAAAATGACACTTTTCAACTATTTGTCGGTAATTAAGCAATAGGAGGCCTTGAAATCAACAATTAAGGAAAATCAAGGAGGCCCTCATGAGTTTTATGTTAATGCAATTGTTTTTTTTTAACAGCCAACGTAAACTTTGTGGCAATAAAGCAAGAATTGACAATAGTTAAAGTAAAATCAAGCAGGCTTATATCAATTCACTTGTTTTTCTCCACAGGCAACCGAGATGGAAAAGTTTGCACCAGATTGATTTTTGCGTCAAAATAAACAAAAGTGTTTTTTTATGATGATGTGATAAACACGGAAACGTCAGAAAATGACATTTTTCAACTATTTGTCGGTAATTAATTAAGCAATAGGAGGCCTTGGAATCAACAATTTAGGAAAATCAAGGAGGCCCTCATGAGTTTTATATCAATGCACTTGTTTTTCTCACAGCCAACCGAGATGGAAAAGTTTGCACCAGATTGATTTTTCGTCAAAATAAACGAAAGTATTTTTCTATGATGATGTGATAAACACATTTTTCCGTAATTAAGCAATAGGAGGCCGTGTAATCAAGTAAAATCAAGGAGGCTTTTGTTAGTTTTATGCCAATGCACTTGTTTTTTTTCACAGCCAACAGAGACGGAAATGTGCAGAAACGTCAATAAGTCACATTTGAACAATTTAACAGTAGGTAATTAAAGCAATCAATAGAAGGCCTTGAAATCACGAATTGACAATAATTAAGTAAAATCAAGCAAGCCCTTATGTAGTTTATGTCAATGCACTTGTTATTTTCACAGCCAACCGAGACGGAAAAGTTTGATTGATTGATTTTTGTGTAAAAATAAACGAAAGTGTTTTTTCTAGGAGTGATAAACACGGAAATGTCAGAAAATAAAATTTTTGAACAATTTGTCGGTAATTAAGTAATAGGAGGCCTTGAAATCATGTAAAATCAAGCAAGCTGTTGTAAGTTTATGTCAATGCACTTGTTATTTTCACAGCCAACGGAGACGGAAAAGTGCAGAAACGTCAGTAAGTGACATATGTACAATTTAACGGTAGATAATTAAAGCAATAGGAGGCCTTGAAATCACGAATTGACAATAATTAAGTAAAATCAAGCAGGCTCTTATGAGGTTTATGTCAATGCACTTGTTATTTTCACAGCCAACCGAGACGGAAAAGTTTGACTGATTTTTGGGTAAAAATAAACGAAAGTCTTTTTCGAGGAGTGATAAACACTAGAATGTCAGAAAATATAATTTTTGAACAGAAATCATGTAAAATCAAGCAGGCTGTTGTAAGTTTGTGTCAATGTACTTGTTTTTTTCACAGCCAACGGAGACGGAAGTGTGATTTTGCGTAAAAATAAACGAAAGTGTTTCTCTGGCGTCGCCAACGATGATTTTATAATAAAAATCAGTGACATAGAAAAGTCACGTCTGAGATTGATTCGTCCAATGTATATTTCGCGACTTGACCCGCAATCTAATCGGTTAATTACCTTCTTATCTATTTCATTGGAAACGTGAAACAAAAGATTAAGAAATAGATCGCGTCGACTGTGCAAGAAAGAAATTCATTTGTTTTGCAATCACAGCCACCGGGATTTTGCTGCAATGTCAAGGAAATCGGGTCAAATCGATTTTCGCTTCAAAAACGACGTCAATTGTGAGCCATTGTTGTAAATAAGTACACAAAAGACTTATTAATTTACTAACCGCCAACTGAAAATCGTCCAACATCATGTAGCCGCCTCCGATAACCGCCGCCAGTGGCATCAAACGGGTAAAAAACACAACACAAAAAACGGGAGAAAAAGTCACTTTTTACTGAGGTTAAACACGGACATGTGTCCTCTGATACGCGAGACTGGGGCCACTTCAAATACTCTTTTGTGTTATCATTTACGGAGGCAGTGGCGTAGAAGAGGGGGCAAAGTGTTATCATTGGTGGCTTAGTCACAGATTACTGAGATTGAAACCGAAAATTTGAACTTAATGAGACACAGCCATCTTCCTTGAATGATAACAAAAAAAAAAAACATTAAAATCGAATTATTTCCTTAAACGTCGCTGATAAGAAGACCCAAATCTCTTATCTCCTCTTCAAACAATCGTGGATTGTGTTATGTCACAAGTGAAGATCGAGTGGGCTTAGACTATTGTAACTATGGCAATGACGATTTCTAGGGTGTTTTATTGTAATTATGACATTTAGTGGGTTTTTTGATGTCAGTGGTGCCACTACAATAGATAAACAGGTGTAACTTCCGCAGCGTTGCCCTTGAAAGTCCGAATCGATAGTCGTCCGGGAAATTCCACCCCTGTGTTTGCGAGAATAGGGGAGGAGGGCACGCAACCGTGTCACGTGAACTTGGAAAAATCAAACAAAAATTGCAAAAAAAAATTTATTCACTGTTTGAATTGTTACTAGATTCGTCGGTGGAGGTCTCTTGGTGATTTTCATCGCCGTTGAGTTGGCCCTCTTGCATTTTCTTGTACTCAGCATACGTGATTTTCTTCGGCATGATGTCTTGCAAAAATTCGTATTTCTCGTCCCGATTGACAACTTCAGCTAAATGTTTATAATCGAGTTTTTTCCCTGTTGATAATTTAAAGCCCTCCTGGGCCAACATTTTAATAAATAGTTCGGCGGCTTTCGCCATCATTAACGACGACTCCCGACTGATATTCTCCGCATCGGAGGAGCTCTTCATTATGGTGTTGATCCGGACGATGGGTAAGGCCCCCCACGGCTTGGACGACATGGCGCTGAAATGACGTCACAAAATGGCCGTCAACTGTCAATCATAGTCACGTGACATTGACCCCTCGGAAAAAATCCGCGTACGCCACTGCCTCGTCCCAAAATATTTCGCCCGGCCTACTTTACGTACAAATAAACAGTGGAAAACTCACCAAAAATCGACGATTCCCCCGAAAACGATGCTAAAAAACGGCAACCATCCCAACTCGCTCCAAAATCGGTTTTTTTTCACAGGATTGGATCGAGACGGCCGGGTGAAAATGACAGCAACACTACACACTAGATCGAAATATAACTCGCAGTTTTTTCCCGATATAAAGTACCGTTTGCTCGGTTTATTGATTGGATTTGTTGCAAAAAATTCGTATTCGACGATGGGGTAACAAAGCGTGAGGATAATCGACGCGATTCGAGAAAACTGCACAAGACGTCACTCGACAAAACACGCGGTGGTGGGGGGTGGACAGAGGCAACCAAAATGTTGACAAGTGACGTCATGTAAATTATTTAAAACATTTTAAAAACTTTGAGGTATGTGGAGTAGAGGCGGCTGGGAAAATAACTGCTATAATTGACAAATGACAGGTTGTGGTGACTTGATTATGATTATGGCTGAAAGACTGATTTGTTACCTGTTGCTACAACAAGTCGACGAGTAACAATTTTTGAATATTTTATTAAAGAAGACAAATTTCTATTATTGATTCAAAAACAACTGTCACTAATGTTATTTTATGGAACGCACCCTAAGTTTTGTGCAAAAACTTGACCAAATAATTAATACAATATGACACTTAATTGAATTATTCTTAATAAAGCTTTAAACAAATGTTTAATTACATGATATTATTAACAAAAAAGGTCAACTGTCACTTTATTATTTTATGGAACGTACCCTAAGATTTTTGCAAAAATTTGGCAAAAATCGGGTCAAATTCACGTAATTATTATGACACGACCTAAATGAACTTATTAATTGCTTAATTAATGATTATTTATAAAAAATAGAGTAATAAAGTTTAATTTGTTGACAGGTGTCAACAGTGTCCCTAACCTCACTTTTGTACAAATTGTTTGGTTTAAAGCAAAAAAATGAAACAGATTTTCTTCTGTTCGGTCTCCAATTGCTATACAAACAGCCAAACCCACCCTTTGTTGTCTTTCCACCCGTTTCCCCCCAAGTCTGTGACTTACCTCTACGTGAAGACCCTCGAGAAGGGCCCCGAGCGCCGCATTTGCATCCGGAAACTCTGGGAGGCAATCCTCCTGATGAAAACCCCCGCGAAGCGCGAACGCGTCTGCTCTATGCATTTCCAGAAGACGGATTATGGTGCAAACACCCTCAATAGTAGGGCCATCCCCACATTGAACCTGCCCCAGGCCCCCATCAGCGTGCGCGTCTGCGACGTCCACTCGTGCACCAACCAGGACAACATCCAAAAAAACAAGCATTTTTTCACATTACAGCGCAACGAGTCGAATTTGTGGCGCTTCCAAAACTGGAAGAAGTTCACAAGGGGGCGCAGCGAGAATGAGGTGACGGTGTGCTCCGATCATTTTATTCTAGGGTTTCCGGTGGACAATCCCCGGAGTCCGGATTACGTCCCCAGTCGGTGTTTGGACCCCCAGATCGAGGAGGTGGATGTGAGCGAGTGTGGGGGCGGTGTCAGTGTGGGGGACTGCACCAGGGAGGATCCCCTACAAGTGGCTGAGCCCGAATTCGTGGGGGTGGTGGACACGCGAGAGGCGGGGGAACTACCCGAGAATATTTTTGAGGAGTGCATCAAAGTCGAACCGCTGGATCTGGACGAGGAGGCTTTGGGGATTCCCCCACACGAAATTAAAACCGAGGCAAACCCTCAAGAGGAACACTCGTATTGCAAATAGTTTTTATTATAAATCTATAAAAAAAGGTGTTTTTTTGAATTTCTGAGTCGGTATTAAAGATCTCTTTCTTGTCAACTGTGACCACAAAATTAAATAAATCAAACGCTCAAGACAAGCATTCGTATTGTAAATAGTTTCTATTAAAAGTTTATAAAAGAATATTTGAGTCTTTTTTTGGATTCACACTTTTCTCTTTTCTGAGTCGGTATTAAAGATCCCTTTGTCCCGTCAACTGTCAAAAATAATACACTACAAAATGAAATGAGTGAGAATGTAACTTAATAAACCCCTATCTAAGAGCCAGTCGTTTCATTTAACCCCCTTGTGGGGTTTTTGACCCCCAAAACTGACACAATTTAACCCCACCGAAACTACAGACTTCTATCAAGCTGTCAAATGTCAAATTCGTAAACAGTCAACATAACCTAAAAATGTCATTAGATTACTCTAAAGTTTCCGATTTCGTCCAAGTCTCTTACTTGTACTTGTCCTCGAGTAGTGACGCGTTCCGTTACCAGTGCCTCGACAAGTTCCAGCACAAGTGCGACCTCTCAAAACACAAAGAGAGCCATTTGGGCCCCCTTGAGATGCCCTTACACCCCTTTGAGTGCAAGTTTTGCCCCAAAAAATTCAAACGAAAGTCTTGGCTGAAAGTCCACATGAAACGACACGACAATAGTCGCAATTTCGAGTGTCCCACGTGCGAGAAACGGTTCAAATTCAAGCAACAGTTGCAAAAACATGTCTTTTTTGTGACGAAAAGCCGTTTCCTTGCACTGTGTGTGGGAAGGATTTTAAGTTGAAGCAAACTTTACAGAACCACGAGAAGGTTCATTGCGATGAGAAGGAGTTTCAGTGTGAGATTTGCCACAAGGAGTTTAAATTGAAGCCACAATTGATGAACCATATGAAAATGCACAGTGAGGAAAAACCCTATGAATGCGAAAATTGTGATAAGAGTTTCAAATTTAAACAACAGTTGCAAAATCATGAACTTGTTCATTCGGGGTACAAACAATTTGAATGTGAACTTTGTAACAAGAGTTTCACGTTTAAACAACAATTGAAGGTTCATTTGAAGATACATTTAAATGTGAAAGAATTTAATTGCGACGACTGTGACAAAGTCTTTAGGACCAAGCAGCAGTTGCAAGTGCATTGCAAGGTGCACAAAGAACCTAAATAAATTTTTTTGTTACTTTTTGTAATGTGAAAACAGAAAAGAAAATTTTAAATTTGAGAGTTGGTACTATTTTTCAACGAAAATCGTAGCGTGCTTATGTATTTTTTGGTTTTGTGGGTTGGTACTTTCGCACAAAGACGCGCAAATATTAATTTATGTTACATTTGTTTTATTTTAAGCAATAATGAACTCAAGTTGAAGAAAATTTAAGTATTTCGTTGTGTTTTTTGCTGTGTTTATCGCAATTGGAATTTTTATCTCTTGACCTGAATAAATCATGAATTAAAAGTTTATCACTATTGATTTGGTCGTTGCTTCAGTGAAAATGAATTTTCGGGTAGTTGTGACACTTTTGGCTGGGATTTGTCTCGTTTATTGTTACCCCAGATCGGAAATAATCACCACGAAGTTGTCTCCGTGTGATATACTCGGTTATAACCCCCAAACAAAAAGAATAATGGTTGACCATTCCAACTGTGAGCGACTGTGCAATCTGGAGCAGAAGTCAGGGGGGCAATGTGACGACGTGGGGGCGTGCATTTGCAAATTAAAAACAGTAAATGACCTGTGAAATGAATCAAATAAAGAAAATCACAAAAAATGAAGTTTTTTTTCCGAAATCTACATTTTGTTACGTCAATAGTTCTGAAATTTGGGATACAAAAATCAGTGAGAAAACCGCAAAATAATCGCTTAAAAACAAGGTTAAACTTAACCTTTCACATTAAAGGCGTCGCTTACAGGAAATGACCCGTAAAATGAATTTTTTAAATAAAATCACAAACTTAAGTTTTTGCAATCTACGTTTTGTTACGTCAATGGTTCTAAGACTTGGAACGGACCCCACAATAAGGTTAAGTGGGGGCTTTTTGTATTAAATAATTACCTTTCTGCCTACACTGCGCTCAAATTTGGGGAAAACATAATTTTTCTGGTGTTTTCTCTGCAAATCACAACAGTTAAGTGAGGTTAAGCTAACAATTGCCAACACCACAGAGTTAAAAACTCAAGATTGGGTTCACAAATCACAAATTTAAACAAAAATCACTTAATTCTAATTAAAAGTCGTATAAATCTAACTTTAAACATCCAATTATTGTTTAGCCATCAAAAATGACAGTAATATTGAAAAAGTAGGGTTAAAATATTTGATACTAATATACAGAATGTCCCAAAAGTACACCACCATACGTCAACCAGTGATAGAAAACAATTGCTTAGTGTAAATGTGACATAAACATGAATTTTAAACGATTCATTTATGATGAAACTTTATTTGGAAAAGAACTGAGGATTTTAATAAGTACAAAATTTGTGCAAAAATGCTTTCTATTGCCTCTAATGGGCTCTTTGACAGAATAAAATCAGCGCTTGTCATAACGGTTGACAGTTTAGTTACTTTTGCTACCAACATAGACACAACGTACAGTTACGGGATTAAAATTTCGGGCAGTATTTTCCTGTCACTTTAAAAAGTTCACTTTTATTGTCATCATGACTGACATTTGACAATTAAACTTTTCTGTCAGTGACGCAATTTTTTATGTCAAAATGACATAAACACAAAAAATGAGGTTATTGATGTAAAGTTTGTTTTAGAGTTTACATTGTCAAAATGACAATACTGTCCGAAATTTTAATTCCGCAACTGTACACTAGAGGTGACGGGCTAAGCCTGCCAACTTTGCAATAAATTAATTGGTCTTGACTTTGGCTTAATTCTTTTTAAATATTCACCAAACAATGTTATTTTACTAAATACTAAGTGACTGCAAATAGTAATAGTTGCCAAAATTTTGAATCTGACTGAGGGTTTAAAAATAAAACACAAACTAAAAAAGTATTTACTCTTCCCCGAACAATGTTCTACAATAACACCACGATAGTAAGTCTTAAAATTAGAAAATAAAAGAAACAAATAAAGTAAAATGTTAAAATCCTTAGAAATGTCATTTTTCTTGTTCTCCACAAAAAAATTAATAAAAATAAAATGTTAAAATGCTTAGAAATGTCATTTTTCTTGTTCTCCACATAAAGCTAATTTATTGCACGACTTGTGCCCAAACTAGACAACCCCAAGCTTATGCTGCGACCTGAGATGGTTGACCAAAATGTCTTTACTTAGTGTTTTAAAATCGCAATGAGCACAATAAACATGTTCCTCCAAGTCTTGGAGATATTTACTTTCATAGTCACAAAATTTAAAGTCCTTCGAATGCATGTTTTTCAGGTGTCGTGCCAGTGTAGCCTTCGTTTTGAAAGTCTTACAACACTTATCACACATGAGAGATTTTGTTTCTTCACGTGGTAAGTGCAATTGTTTATGTGCAAACAAAGAATGCCTCCAAAGAGTTATAAACTGACAAATGTCACAAGAGAAATGCTTGGAATCGTGAATACGACGATGTGTGTTCAATTGTTTCACATTCCGGAATTTGTAGTCACAAAGTTCACATTTGAACCATTGAAAATTGACTTTGTTATTATGTCTGATATTCTTGTGTCGGGTCAATTCACAGTTTGTTTTGAATTTGCAAGAGCAGAGGTCACACATGTGGTACTTTATATTCGGGTTATGTACTATATATTTGTGACGTGTGACTCGTTTCTTGATTTTGTGTTTGAAAGTGCATTCGTCGCAGTGGTACCACTCTTGGGAACCACTGTCGTGAAGTGCAAGCCAATGATCACGTAAATTCTTCTTGTGATTGGTTTTAAACTTACACGTGGCACAATTGTATACAGTTTGGTTCCCGTCGCCATGTTGGTTCTTCACATGTTTATTGAGTCTCTCCTTGAGACTTGTTTTGTAATCGCATTTGTCACAATTGAAGACTTGGGGATTTTCGGTGTGTTTGGAAATGATGTGCTTTTGCAAGTTATGCTTGTATCTGGTGGCGAATTCGCATTGGTTGCATTTGTGCCTATTGGGGCCATGCGTTATGGTCACGTGATTTTTTAGTGTTTTTTTATAGGCCGATTTGAATTGGCATTGGTCGCATTGGAAGTACTCAATGTCACACACCAACGCATGCTTTGCCACTGTATGTACTTTCAATTGAATCTTATTTTTACATATGAAATCACAATGGTCACAATGCAACCATTGGAGGTTAGAATCATGTTGTGATTTTAAATGTAAAATCAACAAATCCTTACTTTTAGCTTTGTAAAAACAATGGGCACATTGAATCCACGTTTTGGGTTTGGTGTGTCGATTTTCCACATGTTTTTTCAAACAATAACTCCTCTTCGCCTTATAATCACAAAGTGTACACGAGTAGTGATAATTAGGGTCGTGTTTTAGGATCACATGTTGTCTTAAATCCTTCTTGAGTTTGCCCTTAAATGGACATTTCTCACATTTGAACCACTTGATTTCGGAATGGTTTGTGTGTCTATAGATCACGTGACCTCTCAAACTGTCTAAGAGGTTAGTGTCGTAATCACAATGTGTACATTTGAACATGCCTCTCTTTCCATGTTTCTTCGGATGTTTGGTAAAAATGGAATGTCTCAAAACCAAGTATTTCGAAAACGATTTAAAATCACACTTGAAACATTTGTAGGTTATGGGTTTGACATGTTGTGATGAGTGACCTTGAACAATGTGATGTTTCAATTGTGACAAGAAATGCGTTTCAAATGTTTTGCATTTGTGACACCTGTACGGTTCAAGGCCACTTGAACAATTAAAATCGCTGTTTTTGTCATTTGTGTGGCTTTCTAACCTTGATAGGAGTTTGGTCTTGAATGGACATTTTTCGCATCGGTGATACAACAGTTGCATTACGTAAAATAAAAATCTGAAAAGTGAGGTTAAGTGTTTGTTTTTGGATAATTTCTTACGCACCAAATAAAATAACAAATAAAAATAACAAAACTAAAAAAATAAAATCAACTTGAGAAAAAAATCACACCAACTGCTATGTAATTTTTGACAGGTGAGTTGGGTACGTTCACAAATTCATAAAAAAAATTTAATTTCAGTAGCTGAATTAGTTATCGTGACTTGTGTCTAGGGGAAGCCCATTTAATTAATTAATAGTTAATAATTATTAACACAAATGGGTCAATACTGTCAATAGACAACACTTATTTTTATGACGTTATGCAACCAACATTATATAAGTGTATAATTGACGGTCTATTCTAATGGAAATATAGGGTGTTTGTTAAAAAAAATAAGTCTACTCGAACCACTGTATAAAACTCAAGATTCACAAATTTAAATAAAAATCATTTAGTTCTCAATTAAAAGTCAAAGTGGCCACTTCCCTGAAACTGAGTTGTGTAAATCTGACTTTAAACATCCAATTATTGTTTAGCGATCAAAAATGACAGTAATATCGAAAAAGTAGGGTTAAAATATTTGAAACTAATATACAAAATGTCCCAAGTTTGGTCTTGAATTGACATTTTTTGAATCGGTGATACCAACAGTTGTATTAAGTAAAATAAAAATCTGAAAAGTGAGATTAAGTGTGTGTTTTTGGATAATTTCTTACACACCAAATACAAATCAAAATAGAAATTACAAAACTAAAAAAAAATAAAATCAACCAATTGACAGGTGAGTTGGGTACGTTCACAAATTCATTGTTTTTTTTTTAATTTCAATAGCTGAATGAATTATCGTGACTTGTGTCTAGGGGAAACACACTTAATGAACTAATTGTAACATAAATAAGTCAATACTGTCAATAGGCAGTTCTTATTTTTATGCAACCAACGTTACACAAGTGTACAGTTGACGGTCTATTCTAATTGAAATATAGGGTGTTTGTTTAAAAAAATAAGTCTACTCGAATCACTGTATATTTGACAATAAATTCAGGTTTGCCCCGTGTCTGTTATAATGTTTTTGCAAGCTGTGTTTGTATTTCGTCTCGAAGTGGCATTGGTCGCATTGGAAGTACTTAATGTCACACGCCGACGTGTGCTTTGCCACTACATGTATTTTCAATTGATATTTAATCTTACATTTGAAAGGACAATGTTCACATTTCAGCCACTGGATTTCAGAATCATCTGTATGTCGACAAATTAAGTGTCGTTTCAGTCTATAAGAGCATTCAGTTGCGTAATCACAATGTGTACATTTCAAAACTCCCCCCTTTTCCGGTCGCTTTATTTGATGTTTGGTGAAAATGGCGTGTCTAAAAGCCAATAAATCGCTATTTTTCTTTGATTCGTGTTGTCTCTTCAAATGTCGTTGCAAATGGTAATTCATTTTGCTCTTATAATCACAAAATTGACACGAGTAGCGGAAATTAGGGTCGTGTTTTTGCACCATGTGTTTTTTTAAATTGTACTTGTGTTTACTTTTAAACGGACAATGTTTACATTTCAACCATTCGATCTCAGAATCTTGGGTATGTTTAGAGATCACGTGTCTTCTCAAATCGCGCGAATCTCTACTTGTGTAATCACAATTTGTACATTTAAAAATTCTCCTATTTCCTCGTCTACTTGTTTGATGTTCAGTTAAAAGGGAATGTCTCAAAAAGAGATATTTCGAAAATGACTCGAAATCACATTTGGGACATTTGTTGTTTGTGGGTTGGACATTTTGTGTCACATGACCTTGAACGATGTGACGTCGCAGTTGTGACAGGAATTGGGTTTCAAATGTTTCACATTTGTGACATTTGTAAGGTTCAAGGCCACTTGAACAATTAAAATCTATGTTTTTGTGATTTGCGTGGCTTTTTAGCCTAGACAAGAGTTTTGTCTTAAATGAGCATTTGTCGCATCCGTAATACAGTTTTATTTCAGAAAAGCTAGAAAAAATAAGGTTAAGTGAGGGATTTTTGCATTAAATAATTACCTTTCTGCCTTCACCGCGCTCAAATTTGGGGAAAACATAATTTTTCTGGTGTTTTCTCTACAAATCACAACAATTTAGTGAGGTTAAGGTAACAATTCCCGATACCACAGAGTCAAAAACTCAAGATTGGGTACGTTCAAAATTAATCACTTATTCGTGATTAGAGTGGGGTAAAAGTCAAAAGTACACACCTGGTCTCGGACGAGTCCAATCTTGAGAATAGGGAGATTTTTGAAATCGATATTAAGCAGTACCCTGCATTTGCTTAAAAAAAATAAATCTAAATTTCAGTTTTTTTAACAGTTTTAGGTACAAAGAAACTTTACTTGAATTTTATCGTTTCGATAGATGATTACACTGGTGTTTTCACGTCTTAACTGAAAGAAATTTATTTGCAAAATAAAAGAAAAATACCTTTGGTGTGTGTTTTTATTAAAAAGTGAGGTTATGTTATTATTATTGAAATTTGATCGTTTCAAGTTTAATTTAAAACAGATAAAATAGAAAAACTGAATTGTCAAAGTGCCAATTTAAAAAGTGTGTTGTTTTGTTATGATTTTATGTAGTTCTGAGACTTAAATTGAATTTTATTATAAGCCACAATAAATGTGAAAATAATGTTACACGACCCCAGTTTCATTTTGCAAAATTGCTTTGTTTCCGTTACGCAAAATTGTTGTATTTTTGGCTTTTACCCCACTCTAGGCCAAAAATTAAATAACAAACTGTCATTTTTGACAAAACAAAGTGACAGTTGGGTCCGTTCACAAATTCGTAAAAAATATTGACCAAAACATTTTATTTCACAGTTATTGTGACTGTTTAGAAGGAATAAAAAGATTGAATTATTATCATTCAAAAAATTAATTTATTTAGAATTTAATTTATGCAACCGTCATCACACACGTGCACACTTGTGGACTAATCGTCTCCAACAGATGGAACAAAAATACAGGGTGTTTGAAGAAAATAAGTTGCAAAATTGCTTTGTTCCGCCACTGCTTTGCAATTAAGTTGTATTTTGGCTATTACCCCATTCTAATACAAAAATTAAATACAAACAAAGTGACACTTGGGTCCGTTCACAAATTCGTAAAAATCTTGACCAAAACATTTTTATTTTACAGTTAATGTGACTGATGATGAAAAAAAAAAGATTTAATTATTATCATTCAAAAAATTATAGAATTTAATTTATGCAACCAACATTACCCGCGTGCACACTTGTGGACTATTACATGAGATAAAAATACAGGGTGTTTGAAGAAAATAAGTATGTACTCGAGACACTATATTTAAAAATAATTTTAGTGTTGTTTAGCGATATGTTTTCGCAAGTTGTACATGTACCTAGTTTTGAATTCGCATTGGTCACACTTGAACCTTTTGGACCCATGTTTGGTAGTCACGTGAATGTTCAATTTGGCTTTAAAGGCGGCTTTGTAATGGCATTGGTTGCATTGGAAGTACTTAATGTCACACTCTAACACATGCTTTGACACTTTATGTGACTTCAATTGTGATTTAGTCTTACATTTGAAATCACAATGATCACAATGCAACCGTTGAATTTCCCCATTACTATGTTGCAATTTAGAGTGTTTAACCAAAGAGTAGTTATTTTTAGATTTGTAACTACATTGGGCACACTGAAACCAGTCTTCAGGAGCAGTGTGTTGTTTATTTACGTGTCGTTTCAGAATGTACGGTGATTTCGCCTCATAATCACAAACTTTACACTGAAAGACACTTTTGGTGTGGGTTGCAATGACATGTTGGTTCAAATGGTACTTGCGTTTGGCCCTAAATTGGCATAATTCGCACTTGAACCATTGGATTTTGGCCTCGTCTGTGTGTCTACAGATCAAGTGCATTCTCATTTTGTAGGAACTTGGAGTTGTGTAATCACAATGTGTACATTTGAGAGGTGCCCCCTTCTCCGGTTTCTTTATGTGATGTTTGGTGAAAATTGAGTGTCTCCAAGCGGAAAAATCAACACTTTTGGATTTGTGTTGTCTTTTCAAGTGTCGTTGCAAATGGTACTTCATTTTAGCCTTGTAATCACAAAGTGTACACGAGTAGCGATAATTAGGGTCGTGTTTTTGTATCACATGTTGGTTCACATCGTGCTTGAGTTTGCCCTTATATGGACAATGCTCACATTTGAACCACTTGATCTCTGATTCGTCCATATGTTTATACACTATATGTCGTCTCAAACTGTCACGTGTCATTGTACCAAAATCACAATCTGTACATTTGAACGCGTCCCCTTGTCCCCGTTTTCTTCTCTGATGTTTGGTGAAAAGGGAATGTCTCAATAACACACATTGCGAAAATGACTCGAAATCACATTTCGGACATTTGTAGTTTTGGGGTTCGACATGTTGTGATGTGTGACCTTGAATGATGTGACATCGCAGTTGTGACAATAGTTGGGTTTCAAATGTTTCGCATTTGTGACACTTGTAAGGTTCAAGGCCACTTGAACAATTAAAATCGCTGCATTCTTGATTCATTTGGTAAAATCTAAAAAAAGTAAGGTTAAGTTTTTGTATTAAATAGTGATTACTAACCTTTCCTCCTTCACTTCTATTTTAACTGGGCCCAAATTCGCGGAAAACATATTTTTTTCGTGTTTTCTTTGCAAATCACAACTATTAAATAAGGTTAAGTTTATGAAAACAATGACACAGAAGGTGGGGTACGTTCGCAAACTGAGACATAAATCACATTATTTGTCATTAAAAACGGATTGTTACACCTGATTAGCTGATACGTTTATTGGTTACGTTAGTTAACATAGATGAACTAAATTAGTTAATATATAATTTTTTTTCTGTCAAATGTCAATTGTCAATTAATTTTCGATTGTGCCATTGGTTGGATTATGAACTAAAATTGGCGGCGAATTTAAATATTTTTATGATTTTTTTCAATTTGAGTACCAATAAAATCGGTTTAATTGTCAATTTCGTTAAAACTCTGATTGTAAATAAGCAACACAGTGGATTTAAGTTGTTTATTTATCATTTAATTTGTTTTCTGGAATTTTAAATTCGATTTTTGCCCAAAAATTTACTATCATTAATTTAGATTCGTTTTTGTGATTTTTAAGCTCATTTTGACAAGATCTTACAAGTCTTTGATTCGAAAACGAACTAAATCGAGCGAAACGAGCTAAAATAATGTCCATAACGATCCAATTTAGTAATTTGACAATTTTGGAAAAATTTGTTGTTAAAATTTGTTTTTAACTCTTAGTTACTCGAACAAGACAAAAATAATATTATTTGTGACCTAATTTGAAAAAATAATCAGCTGAAAAATGTACTAAAACACTCGGAAAAGTAAAAAATTATTAGATTTTTTTATTTAATGTGGTAATTTTTTGGTTTGTTCTAGAAAAAACAAGTAATTTTGGATCAAATTTTCCAATTTTTCTGCTTGTTTTTGATTACTTTTTACTGAGAAACTAGTTAAATCAAGTGAAACAGAGAAAATATCATGAATTTTGATTTGTTTTTGGAATTAATTTGCTAATTTTTTGATTTGTTTTAGTAAAATATTGCAAAAAAAAACGGATTGTTACAACTAATTACTGATTAGCTTGTTTATTAGTTCCGTTAATTAATATAATTTTTTTTTCTGTCAAATGTGAATTGTCATTAGATTTTCGATTCTGCTGGTGCCATTGGTTGGATTATGAACTAAAATTGGCGGCGAATTTAAATGTTTTTATGATTTTCACAATTAGAATACCAATAAAATCGGTTTAATTGTTAATTTCATTAAAATTCTAATTGTAAATAAGCAGTACAGTGGATTTAAGTTGTTTATTTATCATTTAATTTGTTTTCTGGAATTTTAAATTCGATTTTTGCACAAAATTTTGCATGTTTTACCTAAAATAAGCAAATAAAATTTCAAGTGAGTCATTTAATTACAATTTTTGAAATAGATAGCAGAAATTATGCAAAACGACTGGTATATAAGTCCTCTGTAAAATTTAGACGACAGTTTTTGTTGGTAAAAATGACAAAAACGACAAAAGTATGTATTTTTGAAATAATTACAAGTCTTATCGTTATTTTTAGGTTTTTTTGGTGGCTGCTTTGTTGGTGTGCATCATCAACGCTTGCCATGGAGGTGAGACTGCTTGATTTTCGCAAAATCTTATTTCAAATTTCAGGAATTGGTGACTCTATGAAAGAAATGGTCGACCAAATCAAGGAAATGTTAGGTCAAGGAGGGCCGGGAGGGGGTTCAAGTGGACAAGGGGGTACGAATAACAGAGTGTTTTTGATAATTTTTAACTTTGTGTTTTTTAGGGCCCAGTGGGGGGAACTCTGGAGGGGGTCAAAAGCCGTCAGGAAAATAGTGACTGGTTTTGTTATATTTTTAAATGTCTATTTTTGGTGGGGGATGATAAATTTGGTAATAAAATGATAAAATATGCAAAACTAGTTTAATTTTAAGCCTCATTTCCATAATTTGCATTGCAAATATTTCAAATCAACCTTAAATAAGTTTCAGTTGAAATAAACAAACCACTCAATAAAAATGGTAAGAAATTACAACTATTTGTAAGTAAAATAATTCAAAAGTCATTTTTAGCCCACTTTTTTCTTCTACTTTTTATTATCTTACTTCGTAATGTTCATTTTTTCAAGTCCTATTAAACGCCAAATACGAGGTTAGTAAATCTTTTGGTAAAACACCAGTTAAAACACAGTTTCAGATGCCAATCCATATTTATTTTGTATTGAACCACCATGTAAAGAAAATTTTGCCCATTTTTAGCCTTAATAAACGATATTTCAAATTGTAAATGAGTCTCAATTCAAAATTAAGTTGTCAATACCAATAAATGACAGTGACGTTTGAATTTGACAATTGTTGCCAACCTAAATCAAAGAACACTTTATGGCACTAAATCAAAATAAATTATTTAAGTTTTATTTAGTAGTTTTTGGCAAAAAATTTGCAATTTAAAAAAACAAAAAAATTTAAATATTTTCTTTTTTTTATTTACCTACAAAAAAACACTATAGTACTATAGATCCTTTATTTCCTTTTGAACACGGGCTTGTTCCATGCCTGCAGTTTGGTGGTCCCAAAAACCATATAGACCGTGTTTGTGACCACAGCAATACCCATCGATAACCAAAACAGTTTCCTGTATTGCAGTACAGTTTTCTACAAAAAAGCGCGCTAAATTTAAATTAGAGTACCACAAGACTCACATCTGGCGCAACCCTTTCTATGACTTTACCAAGAAAAATCCCTGAAATGTTCCCAAGACCGTTGGTGAGACTTGACGTAAATCCGGTATAGTTTGGTCCCAAATCCAAAGTCACTAAATACAAACCCAAAAAAACGAAAACCATAAGACTCAGAGCTAGAATAAACATGAGTACGGCAGCAAATCGGTTACAACCGGCAAAAGAACCGGTTAACATATAAATAGGGGGGCCCATCATCCCTTAAACAAGTCACTTGATTTAGGTAAATAACTAAGACAGTTGGTACCAAGGGTTGAGAAGATTTTTCGTATTGTTATCAAATTGATATGACCGTTGCGTACCACCCAGTCTGAGAATAGGCCAAAAATGAGTAAAATAAGTGTCATTGGGAGAAACGGAAGTGAGGAAATAAGTGAACTCTCCTTTGTGTTGTACTTGAGGACTTCTTTCGTATATTCGGGAAGTGTTAATGCGAAGAAATTACCAATCCATCGATTCGCACTGAAGGCCATTATCAAAATCCAGATTTGAAAGGACGAAAGGATAGCACGATAGGGGATTTCCTTGTGTCTATGGTCGACAAGTCCTTCTACAAAAGAGTGGTATACATACTTTTTTTCTGTTAATAATGTGCATCAACAGTGTTGCCAGCTCAAAACAACTAAATTCACCAGATTTGAGCCGGAAAGTTACCAGATCTACGCCAGATTACAAGATTTAACAAGAAATTACCACCTAGGAATTGAATTACGTTTTGTAACTAAAATTTTCAGAAGTAATTTTCAATGTCTAGGGTTGGTTACCCCTTGTTGTTGACGATTGACAGGTGACTTAACCTAAATTTTTGACACTAGTTACGATATCTTTTGGTCACCACAAACCAACGTAACCGAATTTATGGCAACTTATTTACGAATATCCCTAAATCCCAGCTAGTAATGTCTTGTTGATACCACTATAATTTTTTTTATACTTTACATAAATTGTGCAAATCTGCTCAAAAATGTGCTTAAAAAAAATCAAAAATAAGGTAACTCTATTTTATTGGCTAGTTTTTTTATTTAATTTTGCAAAATACCAAAAAATCTATTGGCAACACTGAATTAGTGGTAATTCTTCTAAATTATATCAGAATGTGTCAGGTGACGGCTATGAATGACAATTGCCTATAAAAGTTTGACGTTTGAATTTGACAGTCAAGGTTGCCAAATTAAATTTTAAATTTGACACCAAATCATTTTTAGTCGCCCGATATTTACGTTTTTACTTGAAAAAAATGCTAAAACACGTGATAAAGGCAAAAATAATCACTTGAGTTGATGTTTTTTTTGGTTTGTTTTAGAAAAATCTTGCAATTAACACTATTTTCAACCATATTTTATATTTTTTTGACAAAATTTTACTCAAAAAGAGCTAAATCGAATAAAATAAACAAAATAAGCGTGTTTTGACAATATCCTGCAAAATAAATGAGTCTCTCTCTCAAAAACGAACTAAATCGAGCGAAATAGCTAAAGTAATATCCATAACGATCTAATTTGGTAATTTTTTAGGCAATTTTAGAAAAAATTGTTGTTAGAATTTGTTTTTATCTTAAAAACGCTCTTAGTTAACTTGAAAAAGACAAAAATAATATTACTTTTAACCTAATTTGATAAAAGTTCACCTGAAAAATGTGCTAAAACACTCGAAAAAGGCAAAAATTATTTGATTTTTTTATTTAAAGTGGTAATTTTTTGGTTTGTTTTAGAAAAATATTACAAAAACTTAAGATTTTAGTTGGAAAACGTGTTTAGAAGTTTAAAAAAAGTAGTTTTGGATCAAATTTTCCGATTTGTCGGGTGAGGGGTAAATCAGAAAAACACTTCATTTGATGTTTTTTTTTTTGGTTTGTTTTAGCAAAATCCTGCAATTAACACCATTTTCGACTATGTTTTGTATTTTTCGTTCAATTTTTTTGAGAAAATTTCACTCAAAAAGAGCTAAATCGAATGAAACAAACGAAACAACGTCAATTTAGATTTATTTTGTTGTGTTTAAGTATGTTTTGACAATATGCTGTAAAATAAATGAGTCTCTGGATCAAAAACGAACTAAATCGACCGAAACAAGCTAAAATAATGTCCATAACGATCTAATTTAGTAATTTTTCAGACAATTTTCGAAAGATTTGTTGTTGAAATTTGTTTTTATCTTAAAAACGCTTTTAGTCACTCAAATAATACTATTTTTGACCGAATTTGAAAAAATTTCAGCTGAGAAATGTGCTAAAAAGGCTCGAAAAAGGCAAAAATGATTTGATTTTTTTATTTAATGTGGTAATTTTTTGGTTTGTTTTAGAAAAATCTCACAAAAAACGTAAGATTTTAGATGGAAAACGTGTTTACACAAGTTTAAAAAAAGTGGTTTTGGATTAAATTTTCCGGTTTTTCTGCTTATTTTTGATTACCTTTTACTGAAAAACTAATTAAATTAAGTGAAACAACGAAAATATCATGAGTTTTGATTTGTTTTTCTGACTTTTAGGCGCATTTTGACAAGTTCTTGCAAAATAAATTGTTAGTTTTAGAGCCAATTATAGAAAAATTTTTCAGAAAAATTATTTTAATTTCATTTTTAGTAAATTTTCCGTTTGTTCTTAAAGAATTTTTGCGAAATAATTGCTTTTCTGGTCGAAAAACGTGTTGAAACGCTTAAGAAAGAGAAAAATACTATAATTTTGCAATTACTTTGATAATTTTTTGATTTGTTTTAGTAAAATATTGCAAAAAAAATGAGGCTTTAGTATAAAAACTAGTTTGAGAAAGTTAAATAACACTACTTTTGACCAATTTTTAGTTTTTTTTTTTTGATTAATATTTGCTCAAAAATCAGTTACATCGAGTGAAACGGACATACTATAATCAACTTAGATTCGTTTTTGTGATTTTTAGGCACGTTTTGACAAAATCTTGCAAGTCTTAGGTTCAAAAACGAACTAAATCCAGCGAAACAAGCTAAAATGACATCAATTTCAATCTAATTCGGTAATTTTTTAGTCAGTTTTAGCAAAAATTTAAATGTATTTTAAAAACGTGCTGAAACACTTTAAAAATTCAAAAATAACACTACTTTTGGCATAATTTAATAAATTTTCGGATTGTTTTTAACAAAATTTCGCAAAATAGTTCTGTTTCTTGCAAAAAACACATACTAAAACGTTCAGAAATAGACAAAATAATCTACTTTTTGACACATTTTAGCGATTTTTCACTTGTTTTTGAGAAAATTTAGCATTTGGGTTTCTGCGTTGCTAAAAAACGTGCAAAATGTTCAACGAAATACAAAAAAATACTCGATTAAAAAAAATATTTCAAAACACATAAGAAATTTGAATTTTTACAAAAGTTTTCATAACTAGATCTAGTAAAATTTCACTGTGCATCAAGATTGAGGTTAGGATTATTTGAATTTTCGCATGGTTGCCACTTTTTCAACGACTACTTCCAGTGGTACCCCAAAAACACTTACTCATCTCCGAAGCCAAGTACTCTTTCTCTTCCGGTGTAATTCTTGGGTCTTTTTCTGGGTTTGCAAATACGTAAAACTCCCATATTAACGCAACCACAATCCCTATTGACCCATAGACGTAATATGGCGTCGACCAATTACCAGTCGAGTCGACTAAGAAACTTGTACAAATTTGTCTTGCGATGAGTCCTATGTACAATCCCGAGACTGATATTGACGACAGGAAGGCTCTTTCACGCAAGGGGGCCCAATGGGCGATTAAATTGCTAGCTGCCGGAAGGTGAGCCCCTTGGGTGCCACCCATGAGGAGTCTTAGTACCATCAAAACTGACACATTTCCTTTGGTCACTTGAATCAGTAACGGAGTTGAAATGTTGATAATTGAGGAGAGGATTGTCGAGAGGGAAATCACCCGTTTTGGACTTCGACGGTCCGAGTAAATCCCCCCAAAAATGTGCAAAGGGAGATAGGTGACAAACAGCAAGGAAGAGATTTTTCCAATTGTTGGTTGTTCTATTTTAGTTAGTTTTGTTGTGGTTGCATTTGGTAAAGTTTCATGGAAGTATTCCTTGAGTACTTCACAGTGTTGACCAATGGTACTGTTGTGGTACTCTTGTTTTTGGTACTTGATTTCGGCGAAATATGTAATAGTGTAGATTAAAACATCACGATTGATAAAACTGTTGACTGAGGCCAAAAAAATCATAAATGAGACTAAATAGCGTTGAGGGATCCATTCTGAAGGTTCATTCAAGATATTAAATGTCATAAAATGGTACTCACTTACTTGTAGGTGTTTTTGAATCGTTTGAACTTGTATCTGAGGTTCTTGAACCTTCATCAATGTTCATTTTGGGGTGACATTTTGAGACAAAAGCCAACTAAAAAAAAAAAACAAAAACAAAAATCTCGTTTCAATGAGTTTCAAGTAAATAGAAAATTTATCTTGTTGTTTCTTTTTATCTGTTGAACACGATGCAACAGGTCAAAATATTCCACGATGCACAGTTTTTGAAAAAAAGCTAAAAATGGCCCTGTGTTCACAAATTTTTACTCTTTTTTATTTTGTAAATTCCTGCAAAACTGTACCTTAATGATATAATATTTTGACTTAAACTTATGTAAAATGTTCCGGGGAATCGATTGATGTCAAGAAAACTGCAAAATTCGTAAGAGTTTTGAAGTTATAGTCGGATTTATACTTTTGAAATTTTTAACTTTATCACAAATTTTCTCAAAAACTATATCGTAGAACACTGATCTTTTTTTTTATATGATAGAAAATTAAATTTTCCTTCCAACGGTACCAAACATAAGAGGTTATCACCAATAAGTCCAGAGTTATTGGCAATAGACTCCGGGTGCCAAAAATCTCGACAAAAATCAAGAAAATTTTCAACCTTAAAATTCTTTTATATAACGTTTTTTACATTTCTAGAGGTCTTAAAGACTGTAGTAACTTGTCTCCATATGCACAAATTTTGTTTTGTTTTGTCCCTAGAATTTTTTTTTTGAAATTATGATTGTTTTTAAATTGAGATGTCAACATTTTGACTTTTATAAATCTTGTATGCCTGTTTGAGCCTTTGAAAGCGCTATAATTAAATACCTGAGGACAGACATCATTACTTAAGGTCTAAAGACAGAATTCAGTTTATATAATATTTTGGTCAAAATAAAAAAAAACTAAAAAAGTGCATAAAACGTTGTAGAAACAATAAATTTTCTGTTTGAATGATTACCTTGACGGCGACGTAGTAGCGCAGTGGCAGTGGCTGCTTTTATAAAGTTTTTGACATCTGTCATTAATGTCAACAAGACGTTAGAATTATATTTTATATTT